GAACATTCAATCCAGTCTTTGCCGAAACCATCACCGCATTTTCTGTATCAATCTCGAATGTGTTCCTTATCTGCTCCAGAGCCCGCTCTGGGTCCGCTGAGGGGAGATCAACCTTGTTCAGAATGGGGATCAATTCGAGGCCTTGCGCAAAGGCCAAATAGAAATTGGCGACTGTCTGCGCCTGAACGCCCTGACTGGCGTCAACGAGGAGGATTGCTCCACCGCAACTGGCATAACTTCGCGACACCTCGGCACGGAAGTCCACATGGCCAGGTGTATCGACCAAGTGTAGCAAATAATCCTCGCCTTTATAGTTGTAGATCATGGTACACGTCTGTGCTTTGACCGTAATTCCTCGCTCTCGTTCGACATCGAGTTTGTCCAAAACTTGCTTGTTCGATCCTGCTTCAATTGTGCCCGTCAATTCGAGTAATCGGTCGGAAAGCGTGCTCTTGCCGTGGTCAACGTGTGCAACGATGCAGAAATTGCGAAAACGTTCGATTGGGATCGCGGCAATTCTCTTCTCGAGGTTTACGTCGAGTTTTATATGCGCAGTTTTCGAACGTCCATAGTAAATCGTGGTAGTAGAGAAACTCCTTTTAAACCTATACAAAGAAAATACAGTTGGTGGTCGGAGGCTCGCGGCCTGGCATCTCGGCGCTGCGCTCAGCCATCGGCCTAACTGCAGACATCCTCGCATTGGGGCTTCTGCGGTGGCATAGGAGGGGCTGATGGTATGCAAGCGTCGAATCGAAGTGTATCCGTGGGGCAATCGATCAGCACTTGAGTGCTGGTTGGACTTGTCACGATTTGCGGAGAAAAAACGGACGCGCGGGCGGTGACCGTTTATTGCTGCGGTGACCATTCGACGTAAACAAGGCTCTATCTTTCTTTCACCTTCAGAGTCCGCAGCTGCCTATCTACAAGTTCGTCATGTCGGAAACCAAGGGAAAATCAAAGGTGCACAAGCTGTCGATTAAAGGTGCATACCTCTCGTCTTCTTATGCAGTTATCGTGGTTGTACAAAGCTTACAAGATAACAGGATCGGCCAAGCTTGTCTCCGAATTCGTGAGTCGTCCTTTAGATTGCTTCAATGATGTCTGAGTACTAACAGGCTCAGTTTGAATACTCGATTAATTCAATCCTGTAAGTTTATAGTCGTTTCCTGTCCAAGACACTGGCTGATCGCATTGGGTGCTCAGCTTCCAACGAGGTGTCTATCCTCCCGAGGATTTCACGACGTAAGTATGCCCTCCATCTTTACCCACTACAATACAGCAAGCTAATTGGAAATAGGATTAAAAAATATGGCCTCAATATGCTCGGTTCGTGAACCGTGTTCTTCTTAGCCGACGTCAGCAGCCCTAACTTCATAGCAGTTTCGGCCGACGACCAGGTCAAAGCCTACATCAAGAAGATCATGTCCCAGTTGAAGGAATGGATGCAGGGAGGAAAGATCTCGAAGCTTGTGGTAGTTATCACGAGCAAGGAGACCGGAGAACATGTGGAGAGATGGCAATTCGACGTATGCATTCGACACTCTCTTATCCAAGCCCGTGGCTAACTATAACGTGACGGAATAGGTCGAAGTCTTCGGCAAAAATTCGAAAAGCAAGATCTCACAGAAAGCTGGCGACAAAGAGAACAGCACATCGGGGTAAGTCTGTTGACTGTGAGGTCATCTTGATCATCCCACTAATCTAACATCTTTATGCTTTGAAGAGATGCAAAATCCCCCGAACCTATCGAAAAGACAGAAAAACAAATTCAGGAGGAGATCCAAGCCATCTTCCGCCAAATCACCGCATCTGTCACCTTTCTCCCCGTCCTTGATGGTGACTGCACCTTCAATGTACTTGTCTATGCCGACGCAGATTCAGACGTGCCGGTGGAATGGGGCGACAGTGATGCCAAGGAAATTAAGAACGCAGAGAAGGTTCAACTAAGGAGCTTCAGCACAAACAATCACCGAGTTGGAACTCTGGTCAGCTACCGGCTGGCGGATTAACCCCCCCCGGGACACATTATGATCAAATACGAAGGATACTACGGATTGGCGTTTCGGGAAAGAATCAAGGACTTCTTCCACTTATCTATGTCAGAGGCATATTTGTTTCGGTCAACATCAAGGTCCCTTGGTTGTATTATGTCTAGTATAAGACCAAGGCAGGCTCTCTCGCTTCGGGAACCACTTATTACAATGATCATCCCCATCATAGCGGATTAGATATGACACCACATTTTCCAGTCCCAGATGAGAGAATATATCGTTTTCCATTCCAGGGGACCAGCCTCGTCTCATCCTCTTTCCTACTAGATCCGGGTTCACTCCGTAAAGATCTTCTCTCCAAAGCCCAATCCCATTCATAGCCTCGCCCCGAGTTAAGGTCTCTGGTGGAGTAACTTCCATTGGTGGATTGATACCTATCACAGCAACTTTGTGCATATAGTCTTTTTGTTCCGGCCCAACAGGAATCAGTCCCACAGCTGGGAAGTGGCACTGCATGAATCGAGCGCGTTTAAACTCGTGAGTCACGACTGTGACTCTCTGTGGATAAATGCCCGTATGCATCCGGAATAGTAATAGAGAGAACAAAAGATTTTGATATGAATCCGTGGCGTTGGTTTCTGCGATGATTCTTGATGGGTCAACTGTGGAGATAGTGGACATGGCTTGGAAGTAATCGTTATCCTTGGCCAAGTTCTGAATGTTGCTATATATGAGCTTTCTGGGTGATCGGTTGTACGGAATTCAGGTTTCTTACCAGGTAGGATTGACCTTCACTGAGCTCTGTTCTAGGCTTCTTGGTAGGCCCTCTGTGCAATGGATTAACGAAAAGAAATCGAAAAGGATATGATGAGAAACCCTTACCCGGAAAAGACAAGCAAGCCATGAGAGTCTTCTGCTAGAGCTTTCAATCCAGCTTTGACATGATCGATGAATGTGGGTGTTTCTCCCTTCTGGAAGGGCTCAATCAGCCTTCGGTGCATTAGATGGTATCTTTCATATAAAAGATCATTTCACACTAACCACTCGCTCTCTGAGGCTCCAAGCTTTGGGCCTCCGGTGTAAATGGCATGGCAGCAGACAATGATAAGGTGGTTGCATATAGCAAAGTCGGCATCTGGATTTGCGGTCATATTGGTGGATCTTGGCTGATCAAGCGAATGGATTCGGGTTTATCACAATGCAAGACATATAGACGATGCTAGTGAATTATGGACAATTATTGAGGATGGCTGAACAACCTCAGCTTCTAAATTCGTGCCCTCGATAGTGAGGCGAAGAGAAGGGCGGTCAACCGCACGCCACCTCAGAAAGAGTTCTCCTTCTTGTCTGCGGACTGAAGCCATCGGAATATTTTCTTTGCCTTTGCCTAAGAACGCCGGAGGCATGTTAAGATAGCCAAAAAAGATGATATGTTGTATATAATGTCTCAAAAATCACAAACCAACTAGATATCCTTACATCGTCAACCTTGGATCATAGAGACCGCAAACCGTCCGACTTGATCCAACGTGTACTATAGAAGTTGAAAGGTAAAATAGTAAAATTCGGTAGAATTGCTAAATCGTTGTCAACTATACATCAAAGCGAGGCTGTGGTCAAAACAACCACCGGTCCACACCATCAGGCACGTTGACCCTCTCCAAGATAGTCGGATCTCTTCACTCTCAACAAACTGCTTCAAAGCCGAATACATACTCCGATAACAACCACTGAAGGGTCTATAACGTCCGTCGCACTCATAACCTGGGCAAGGTAATGCAGGGTACACACCAACGCATTCACATCCTGTATACGGCCAAGTAGAGCAGGCATATGTCCAGTCCAGGTGCCTCGCGGTACCGGCAATATCGAGCAGTTGTTCTACGAAACGGAGTCGAAAACTGCGGTCATGGCCTTTCATGCGGGTTAGACCGGACAGACAGGCCGGTGCCTGTGCCAGTTGGCCAAAGTTGAACGTAGCACCGAGCTCAATCGCCCGAAGCACATCGTCCATATCTTGGTCCCCTCCTCCCTAAAAGGGCGTCCTCGTCCGTGTGTAAGGATAAAACAAATAATCGGGGAGATATCGCAGTAATTCACGACAAAGAAAACAAAATTTGTTTCCATGTACGGAGTATTCCGTACCTTACTCTCACCTTGCAAGCGTGGCTATGCACTTTCTTTGTTTCCTGAGGCATATAGACCCCGGGTTTCCTTTCTCCTTTCTCACGTATTGATAACCTCCGTGGATCTGAAGTATGTCGCCCACAATTCGTGGCGAATCCAGTTGAAAAGCACCTGGTGTATCAAGTGTTTTAAGATCTTCAGTGAAAAACTTCGATATTGCGAATACCTCCGAAGCATTTCCGATCCAGTGCTTTCTGAACAAGGAAGGCACGAAGAAATGCCAACAGTGTGGTTCAGAGGAAAAGCAATTGCCTTCGACCAGTGAGGGAATATGGGGAAACGCCCACGGTTCGGGGTCGCTCCCTCCTAGGAACGCAACCGTTACGGTTGGAATATGTCCAAGCGGACCATTCTAGAGATGGAAGACATTGCGCCGAAGATGGTTCTTGCCTGTGAAGAAAAAAATAAAATTACCTAATTGTACATGTTCGTCATCGCCCTCCATCCATGCGCCATAATATCAGCCCCCAGATCTGGGGACCCCCTCGCTAAATGCATCCGCGAAGCGAGAAACAAAGGCGAAACAAGTGGAAAGAAAAAAAAAGAGAACGCCTGAACTCGTGGGGGGGGGGGGGGGGGCATGCAAAGGATTTTGAAAATCAGAGGACGAATCAATATGTGCTGACATCCCAGACCATGAAACGCAACCGTGCGATGAACGCCAACCAGAGAATTCTAGTCGTAAAATACATTTCCATGACCCAGTAAAAGATAGTAAAGAAACCATGAAGGAACGTAGTAATGCATAGATATGAGAAAAAAAGATTGTGCCAATGTAGAGAACGGCAGTACAAGGGTATCAGTCGAAAAGGATGTGTTGATTTAGAGAGGATCGTGGCGGAAAGTGCAGTTGTCGCCTTTGCGACACTTGCCCTCGGCCCAAAATCTGCAAGCAACTAGTCCCACCTTATACTGTTTCAAAAGAGTTAGCCAATTGCTTATCAAAAAAATGCTGCAGTGTACTTACAGGCTTGGCCTCGTTGGCGCCAAATTTGGTCCGTTTCGAGCGGCTCCACGATTCGGAGTTAGAATTGTCGTCATAATAACCGCCCTCGCGGCCGCGCTTGCGCTCTGGGTCTTCATAGTCATGCCCTTGCTGTCGGAATGGGAGAGCACCGTTTTGGTTCTGCCCACCGAATTGTGCGAACATGGCGCCCAGGTTAGGTGCCATTGCTGATTGCGATTGCTGGGGCTGGGAATATGCAGGCGGCGCCTGCATTTGTTTCATAACATTCAAGATCGCGTTGAAGTCAAGGCCTTGCGGTTGTGGAATGGGTACTGGTGGAGCCGGGAGGACCTGTGATTGAGGTTGTTGTTGACGGAACATACTGATGGTTCTCTCGAGATCCGGCATGCCCCCGGGTTGAGTTGCCTGCGGGGCTGGGATTGGTTGCGCCTGTCCAGGAACACCCTGGATGATCTTGAGCAAATTGGAGATGTCAAATCCACTGTCTCCGGGAGTAGGTCGCTGCGGTTGTTGGGTTGGTTGGGGAGTCGTAGGCTTGGAATTCATGTAGGAGTAGTAACGTTCCTGGCGGACCTGTAGTGTCTTTGTAAGTATTGAATCGTAGTATTATCAGAAGTATAGCATACCTTGACCAGGTCGGGCAGCTCTCCGAAAGGCAATACATCGGTAACAATATCGTCGGGGTCAGGAGCTGGTGGCTCCTTTGGTGTGTCGGGCATGTCAGCAGGAGAGGTATAGAAGACCATAAGGGTAGTAGATTCCCGATGCTCCTGAGCCTCCCTCTCGGGACTCGTGGGCAGCTGGGTGCCGCCGCGCTTGATGAAACTGCCATCATTTGATTCCTCGAAATCGAAATCGACCACTATAATGGTCAGTAAGAATTTAAGATGTATTTGGAAGAATAACTTACTCGAAAGAGTATAACCGTCTTGAAATACGGTCTCACCGAGGTCCTCTTCTTCCAATTCGTCCATATCTTTGTGAAGCTTGAGAACACTACCTTCACCTTTAACGTCTCCTCGTGAGCGCAATGACCCATCGCCGGGACCTAATTCTTCATCCGGGTCGTGGGTAAATAGTCGGACTTCGGTAAGAGCATCATCCGGCTTCCAGGTCACGCGAAGTTTACGGCGCTCTTCTTTACGCAACCTGTTTTTGCGCTCAGCTTCAGTCTCCGGGGGCTGATCTTCGGCGGGCTTGGGGCTTGGTGCCTGCTTGGGTTTGTTCAAGTCGGCCATAATGTCACCAAATGAGAAAGATGGCTTTGGGGCTGGTGTCTTTTCCTTTTCGGAAGCAGCACTATTTGAGAGGTTAGTACAGATGAATATCGGAAACAGTTCCTTCGTGGGTACATACGTTGGCTTTGCTGCGGCGGCGGCGGCAGCCCTATCCGCATTTGTGGTCCCGGGTCTCTTGGACGCCGAACTTAAAGTGCCAAAGAGACTTGTTGGCTTAGGGGCCACGATATTGGCTTTAGGGCGCAGCACTGCAGCGCCGGTTGGCTTACTACTTTGTGCTCCTTTGACCGGTCCATTGCTTGCGGGTGCATGTTTATTCACATCCTTCAAGGGATTGGTAACTGCCATTCGTTTTGTGCCAGGCTGCAGATTGCTATCCGCCTCACGGGGTCGCTTCACTCCAGCCTCTCCTTTAGGCTGATCTGCTAAAACGCTCCTTGGATGTGAGTCTTCCTTGGCGGGCTTTTCACTCTCGTGTTTACGCTTCGTAGAGGCCGCAGCATTATCCAATATCTTCTGTGTGAGGTCCTTAACCTGCTGGCCACCCTTCTTGAGGAACTTTGGCAACAATTTGGAAAGATTGGTCTTTTGCATCAGGTCTTCTGTCAAAGTCGAGAAACGCGAGAAGAGCTTATTCCATGTTAGCCATTGCATTTGACACAAGAAGAGACAAACGTAAAACTTACCGAAAGCAAATTAATAGTCAGAGTCCCAGCAAAGTCTGCTGCTTGGAAACGATCGAGTAAGAACGAATATAAAGCCGCCACAACCATAGGATGTTCTCCCAGCCTACATGAAATTAACGATCAGTCATTTGAGCTCAACTATAACGTTTCAAGAATTTTGGCACACAAAGCTGCAAGTTTGAGCCAATTTCTAGATAGGAGTGATTCCCCTCAAAGAGATTCACAGATAGCTTCCGAAGGGCATATCTGAGAATCCATATGATGGAACCATTTTGTTCCATCTGATACTCTTATATATGTACTTAGGACACGCATGTATAATCAAGCCTTGCCACCGGCGAATAGAGCGATGAGCCTTTATTCTAGCTCGTGGCAGTGCTTTCATATCCAATGCTTCCAAGAATATTTATAGGTTTCTCAAACAGCTTCGGGATTTCTGTGACCATTACAGCCAGATGGAAGGGAGGGAATATATAGGGGTTGGGAGAGGAGAGGGATACATACTTCTCAACAATATTGGGATGACCCATTTCCAGTGTCGTGGTCGCAATTTTATCCATGGTACGACGTTGCGAAATGACTTTCTCCTTAAGTTGTGTTGCTTTCTGGTTGTCATCTTGGTTTTCAGCCAGTTTCATGGCCTGAACTTGTTCCTTCCATGCATCTCTTAATCCTTTGACAAGCTCTTTGTAGGCTACCAGCGCATTCTTGACCTTCTCAGGACCAGGCCATTTGTTTCTCGGTGACCACACGGCTTGGAGGGTATCATATTGTGCTGCAGCCTCGGGCTCAGTCGGGCGGATCGGAGGGATAGGAGAAGGCTCGTCAGGTGCTTCAATCTCAAGATCGGATTCATCCGAACTTTCACTTTCTGACTTAGATAAAGTTCTCATTCGGCCATTTTGAGAAGTCTTCTTCGTTTGCTGCTTATTAGAAGCGCCCTTCTTATTGGGGACTACAACTTGCAGTACTGGTAATCCTAGGAAAGTCAGTATTAAGTCTAACGCAATGGGTTCCAACTGGTCTAGGCATACCTCCAGGTGGAATCACCGGGTTGCCATTTGGTGCCATATGCGACTGGACTGAAAGATCATGCTGGTAGTAATTAAATTGCCTACCCCTTCTAAAAATCAGCAATTGCATTTTAAACAACCATGAAGTAAAGTGATAACTTACTGTTCGCTCCCTTGTTGTTTGAGGTCTGCAGGAATTCCCTGAATAAAGTTGTTTGTCAACGAAGACTGCTGTGGATTGAATGCCTGCGGGATAGAATTTAGGAACTGGGGGTTGATGGTGACATTCGGGTCTGAATCGGAGTAATCGTTGGTCAAATCAATTGTGTTTTGCTGCCTCGAGTTAGAGTCACGGTCACCACGAAGGGCATTTAGGGTCGGCTTACCAGCATTTCCGAGGAGTAGCTTTGAGGTAAAGGGTATGCAGAAATTGACGACTGGGGTTGTTGCTGTGGCCGTGGCTGTATTCTCTGCTGCGCGGGTGCTTCAGGAAATGTGTCTGGCACTGAGATGTGTGTGTTTTGTGGATGGAAATAATTTTGCTGGTAGGGAAATGATGGAAATGACGAAGATTCGGAGGCGCTCAGGGGACGAGAGTCAAAAGATAACCGATCTTGTTGGAAATGAGGAGCTTGGGAATGTATCTGATACTGATGCGAAGCTCCATATCCTCGTTGCGGTGGCTGTTGCAAAGGATTTGCTTGCTGCCAAGGCTGATGCACTGATGAGTAAATGCCATGGTTCGGATCTGGTCGTGAGGCTAGCTCTCTTGGCTGCTGTTGAAAAACAGGATGGTCCCATCCGATCCCAAGAGGTGTTGGTTGCGATGCAGAATCGTGCTGCTGTTGAGGCTGGTGCTGGGGTTGAGATGGCTGCTGAAGCTGCTGCTCGGGATCAGGGTATGCGGGGTCAAGTGTGCTCCAGTAATCAGCAGGTAGTGAATTCCCATGAGATAACCCCTGAATAGGGGTTTGAGCTGATTGCTCCATGGTGAAGCTCAGTCGAAGCTTCTCTAAGTTACTATGAAGCCTCACGTAATCACGTGCATGCACCTGCCTGGACAGGGCTTGGAGTTTATTTTGGCGCTCACCGCCTTTTAATTTTGGATGAAGTGGGTCGGAGGTTCGGAGGGATAAATAATTTTTCCGGTGAGGGAAGTGAGATGATTGGCTGGTTGTCTCACGACGGCAGAACAGGGGCCTGTAGAGCTGCTGGACTGAAGAATTGATAAGGATTAGACAATTCACATGTTTGATACGCCTAAGTGGACTTCAAGAGTTGCAATATGAGTACTGTCGTACCTTATGAAAGAAAACAGAGACTGCTTTTGGTTTTGACTCAGGATTAAAGCGGTGTATGCCTCAGGCACAAACTTTGTTCCGCGAGTTGACGGCGTTACCTTTGGCCTTGCAGCTTAATGACGAAGGCTCCGCAGTTGCAAATACAACGTAGAAGTATTAAGATGGCCCAGCTTTTTCTCCGGCGCCTCTCTCCTTGTGTTCTTGACTTTGTATCTCCTGCTTTCTCTTCTTGGGCTGTTCCTGTTGTCCGGCTTTTCGCTCTCCTTTCTCGGTCTTAAGTTTTGTCCCAAAAGAATGTCCTTGAGGAATCAGAGAAGTAAAAAGCTCTCATACGAAGGGCCAATCTAGCGTCACAGCCATTCGCTTTACGGAAAAAAAGAAGGGGTTGGGGAAAGGTGTTGACGGATGGTTAGAGTAGATGACTTGGTTTGAAGAAGAGAGTAAAAGGGACAAAAGCTGCTGGCAAGGCGGTTAACCGATGATACGATGGCGTACCAAAATTGACCGTAATTGTGGTATTGAAGGTCGTTCATTGGCCCACCGCCGTGTAAGTTACAACCCCTGTGTTACACGGCAGAATCAAACACATGTGATCTTTAATGTTTGCAGTGTTTGTAGTGTTTGCAATATTTATGTCAGCGCAGCTCAGAGCGGGATCCATGCCAGGTGGAGCGATAGCAAGAACCCCGATGTCAACAGTGCAAGGTACAACCTCATCATCATTATAAGAGTTGCGCGCATATTTCAGCTATCTTCCTGCGCAGCTCTGTACCTTTCCAAGCTTTGGTTGAAACCGAGCATTTCTCCCGATCTCACACAGCGCTGCCAACTATTGCCATGGCGCAATCCATGTCCCTCCGGGACCGACAGGTCGGTAAGTGACGCAAGCTAGATTTTTGAAATGAATTGACCTTTACTGATCCCTGGCTTTCAGCATCAATTCAAAAGTTATTGAACTTGAATCATGATCCACAACCTGTTGAAGACAGCACCATCGATCAGTCCGGGTCCGGCGGTCTTATCTCACACTCCACTCCGATTTTGAATGAAGATGGTGATCCGATATGGAAGGTCTTGGTCTTCGATAATATGGGCCGGGATGTCATCAGCAGTGTCCTGAGGGTAAATGACCTCCGGGCATGGGGCATAACTATTCATCTGTATGGTCGCCGCCTTCTCCCCCTAAACTGGGCCAACGCTAACGAAGACCCCAAGAAACCTTCATTCACAAAGATACCCTATTCCAGATGTCCCGGTTGTATATTTCGTGGAACCAACCCCCGATAATATCCAAGCGATCACTCGCGACCTTTCCCACGGGCTCTACTCCCCAGCCTACGTAAACTTCCTATCCTCCGTCCCGCGGCCACTTCTCGAGGATTTCGCTTCTCAAATAGTCACTTCTGGCGCATCTGAGCATATCGCGCAGGTGTTCGATCAATATCTCAACTTTATTGTGGCAGAACCGGACCTCTTCAGTTTAGGGCTTGGAAAGGATGCATACTACAAGATCAACAGCCCAAAAACGACTGATGAAGACCTGGATGGGATTGTTGACAAAGTGGTCAGTGGCTTGTTTAGTGTGAGCGTGACAATGGGTAAGTATTATATCCTACCTTGGATCATCGAACGGAGTTCTGACTGGCTGCGCAGGTAGTATCCCAATCATACGGTGCCCCAAGGGTGGTGCGGCGGAATTGATAGCAACAAAACTGGATCGGAAACTGCGAGACCACATCCTCAATTCCAAAGATAACCTCTTCTCGGGTAATCAGAACGCTTTGCCAGGAGTGCCATCAGCACGGCCGGTACTAATCATCATGGATCGAAACATTGATCTAGTCCCAATGCTCTCTCACTCGTGGACATATCAATCCCTAGTCCAGGATGTTCTTGAAATGCGTTTGAATCGAATCACTGTGGATGCAGGTGCAGGCGATCCAGAAGCTAAGGGCTCCAAAAGGTCTTATGACTTGAGCAGTACCGACTTCTTCTGGCAACGCAATGCCGGAGCCCCATTCCCCCAAGTGGCTGAGGATATCGATGCTGAGCTTACGCGGTACAAGGAAGATGCGAATGAGATTACAAAGAAGACGGGAGCCTCTTCGATTGAAGATCTCCAGAATGATACCAGTGCCTCCGCGCAACATCTCAAGGCCGCCATCACACTGCTCCCTGAGTTGCGGGAACGCAAGGCAGTTCTTGATATGCACATGAACATTGCCACCGCACTGCTCAAGGGTATCAAAGATCGGCAGTTGGACAACTTCTTCGAACTAGAAGAGACCATCACCAAACAATCAAAGTCGCAGATCTTGGAGTTAATCAGTGATCCTTCCAAAGGAAGTGAACCATTGGACAAGCTGCGCTTGTTCGTGATTTGGTTCCTCAGCACTGAAACTGAGCTCAGCCGCTCGGAAATGACTCAGTTCGAAGAGGCCCTGACACGAGCCGGCGTGCCCGACATCTCCTCTCTTGCCTATGTCCGCCAAGTGCGCGAGATCACGCGTATGACCATGATGACAACATCTGCACCAGAACAACAATCGTCCGATCTATTCCGTGGGTTCTCCTCACTTTCAAATCGCCTGACGGATCGCATTACCTCGGGCGCTTTAGGTGCCAACTTCGACTCGCTCATTTCAGGAGTAAAGAATTTCCTACCAGCGAACAAGGATCTTACCGTGACCAAGATTACCGAGTCGATCATGGACCCGGCTGCAGCTTCAAGCTCTGCCATTGCAAAGACCGAAAACTACCTCTACTTTGACCCGAGGAGCGCCAACGCACGTGGCGCCATGCCTCCGGCATCCGCATCGCGAAACCCGCAAATGCCTGGTGGAATTGGTAGCGCAGGCCCTGGCACCGGTGCCAGCTTCGGACAGCGCCGCCAAGCTTTCAGCGAGGCTATTGTCTTTACAGTTGGTGGTGGAAGCATGGAGGAGTACGGCAACTTGCAGGAATGGGTTCGCCGAACAAATGGCCAACCGGGTGCCGAGGGTGCGCCAGCTCAACGTGCAGCACCTGGAAACCGCCGAAGAGTTGTTTATGGAAGCACAGACCTGATGAACGCTACTGAATTCCTGTCGGATTCATTGGTGCCTCTCGGTCGGGATAGCTAAATGTAATTGTGACTAGGTGGGAGTCGACATCAGCATAGAGCCAACCGGAGGGTTGTACACCTAAAACATAGTATAATTGAAGTGCTCTGATATGTCTATGGTGTCTAATGGTGTTCTTTCCTGCTATTGACTTGCCTTAGCGATTTTGTTCTTTGCTAGACATCCAAATCTCACCAATAATTATGTCTATTTGAGGGCACGACTTCATCCTCGAACTCCACCTAATGTGTTGAGCCAACCCCAAGGTCTGCTCGCGGTCTCGATCAACCAATACGATCTTGGTAGAACGAAATAAACAGAACTCACTCGAATCAATTCATGGTATCATATTGGAAATCTACAGAAACTCCTAAATATCTGGCACTTGTGGAGTTCAATAATCATCTGTCAATCCTATGGGATATAGAAGTATACCACCATCGTCATCCGCCTTCTGAGGCAACAGTCTGGAACCAAAGCCGCAGCAAACTCGATCAATCAGAACCTTTTCCAAAGATGTGCGACTTGGAGTTATCTTCTTTGCCCATTCAGCCGCATTGCCTCACTTGTCCATGGTCGCCTGAGTGATGTCAGGGCAGTATCATCGTCCTGGGATCTAGCGCCACGACGAGGGTATAAGAATCAGACTGACCTGGTGCTTTTTACATTCCATAAAACAAAAGATTACACAAATAATATTATTATCACTCTTAACACATCGTCAAGATGACCAACTACGGAGACACCTGGTCCACGACCTACGACACCGCAGGAACAGCCTACAATCCTGCGGGCTCAACCTATGATACCCTGAGTTCAACCTACGACACAAGGGACTACGGCACACGGGACTATGGCACAAGCGACTATGGCGCAGTTGGCTACGGTACAAATGCGACTGCCACAACTTACGATACCAACACCGGCCGCGGCACCACAACTTACGACCCCCAGACTGGTGCCTACGACCAACACCTTGATTACGACACCCCTACTGGCCGACGCCACCACCGCGAGCGAGTGAACGATAGGGGCACCTATCGACACCGCGACGTTGACCGATTTGATGACGGATCCTCTCGTGTCCACAAGGAATACGACAACCCCAACACTGGTACCAGCTACCACCGTGACTATGAGCGGTAAAAGCGCTCAACATTTGAAGAATTCGCGTTGGGTTTGGACCCAGGCTTGTATATAAGACGGCATGAGACCACGAACCTGTATGAACTGAAGCAAAACGCGAAAACAGGAAAAAAGGCAAAAAAAAGATGAAAAGGTTAAAAAAACAAAAACAGCCTGATTTGTTGTCCGTTTTAGCGGCTTTATAGCTGTTGTTTCCGTCTGTCGTTACAGTCTTGTTGTTCCTGTCTGTCGTTACTGCTCGGCTCAACTAGTCTGGTTTCATTGTTGGCGAAGGTATGGCTTCAATTCAAATCAGACAGAATGCAAATGAAACAAATTGGGTATATCTCAAAAACTTTCCTATCTTTTGTAGTTGTATGTTGTATGATGCGCCACGGATGTACGGAGTATACTGCTTGAAGAGGAAATAGACTACTAGATGACCTTGGCTTCGGTGTGGACATTAAAAAGGGATATATAATGCTTTCGTTTCATATAATAGGTCTAAACTAAATGAAATCCATAACAATATACACATCTCCTCCATATCTATGAACATAACGAATATCAAATCTCATTGGGGCTCTTGGCGTAGATGCCTCAGGCGGACCCAGTAGCCACATGCAAGGCTGGCTCCACATAATTGGCATTTCCCTCCGGTCAACTCCAACTTTGTTCTGTACAGCCAACGGATGTTGTGCTGAAACAGCTTCTACTCCAGCTTCTCATGCCCCCATGATCATGTCGCGGAGGACGCTGGGTGGAGGTCGTGTTCTGGGCAACCCAAGCGCTCTCACATCAGCTCCGTCCCCGCAGCCCAAGCCACGGGTGCTCTCGCCGACCGCCAGCAGCGTTTCCCTTAATTCACAATCCGCATCACAGCTCTCGACCGAAACTCAAGACCTCACTTCCCGCATTTCAATAGAGAATGGCGACACTTCGATATCTGCCGCCCCGACTGCTCCGGGGGCTCAGCTCTCCTGTCCGATCTGCAGCGAACAGATGGTATGCTTGTTCCCATGCGCTCTTTGTTTTAAAGATGTATTGGGATGATACTAACTTCTATTTAGATGACTTTGCTGCAGCTGAATAGGTACCGATCCATTGTTCTCCCTGATGACGCTTTAACTATGATTAACGATTTGCCGCAGACATCTCGACGACATCCATCAGAACCTGGAAGAGAGCCACCAAGATGAAGTAAAGGACTGGTTCAAAGTTCAAATGGAAAAGGCAAGGAAGTTCCAGCCTCTCGCAGTCTTAAACCAGAAGTTGAAAGGCCTGGATGTGTTCGAGTCAAACGAGAACCAGGGCGCGCCTCTCCCCATCCGCCCACTAGCAGCCCATGCGGGCATCCCCGAACCTCCGAAACTACTAGACCCCGAGGATCTCATAACCAAAGACCACTGGCAGACAAGTTGTATTTACGATGAGTGTCTAGAACCATCATGTGGGAAACGATTGAACGCCACCAACGGTTGCGTGAACTGTCGGAGTTGCGGGAGACTGTTTTGCGAAGAACACACGATGTACCAAATGAAGCTCTCGCGGGCGGCACATCATGAACCAGTACGAGGAATTTGGGCCCGAGTATGCGAAACCTGCTACAAGTCAAGAGAGGGCTACAATGATCATAATGGTGAGTACATTGTCTTTCAGTTCTGAACCAAGCTAAACAGGCAACAGGAATCGTGAGGGACCGAACGGATGCATTCAAGTCAATAAGAAAACAGACCGTCGATAAGGAGTTTTTGGAAATTTCCCGACTCGAGAAACGACTGACCCGTCTCACTCAGCTATTGGCTAGTCTGCCACCAGATCAAATACACCCCAGTGCAACAAAGCTTTGGTCTCTTGCATGGCAGAATGATCGACGTAAGGAAATAGAGCAAACGATTGTCAGCTGGCAGGATGATGCCAGTGTTTCACGTTGTCCGTTTTGCCAACAGGACTTTTCGGGCTATACTTTTCGCAGACACCACTGCAGAACTTGCGGGCGAATTGTCTGCGGTGATCCGAGTACCGGATGCTCTAGTGAGGTTGGGCTGAGCATTTCTCCTGGTAAGTCCCGAGACGACCCTCACTTGTGACTTTGATCTAATTTCTAATAGGCCCGACAGCCACCTCTGAGAAAACCAATGGCGATAACCTTGTCAATATTGATGTAAGACTGTGCAAGGACTGTAAATCGACACTGTTTGATCGACGCGACTTCAAAGCGGACATGACGCGAAAGCCATCGGAGATCAGGGCGTATGAAAACTTGACCCAGTTTGAGAGAGGCATCCGCCTCCATCTACCTAGATTCCAAAAGCTGTTGACAGCTTTACAGTATGTTCTTCTGTTCTGGTATTCTAGTCACTTACTAACGACATTGTACCAGGGATCCTAGACGACCTCCATCGTCAGCTCAGATTGCAGATGCATCCAAGGTGCGCAAGCGACTGATTGATTCTTTTGCACAGTATAATGTTGCGGCTCGACGTATCCGTGATATGCCGACCAATTCCCCCACGCAACAAAAGCTGCAGCAGGCTATATATCAGCAAGCCAGCAACTTCCTTCATCTTCACATGTTACCTTTGAAATCCCTCCCGAAAATCCTCAAGCATACAACTCCCGCGTCAGAGAGAATACCCAGCCGGACAAGCTCACCCAGTACTCCGGTTAATGGCTCCACGACAGGTCTCCGGCCACCAGAATCTGCTCTTTCGTCCATTAAGTACAACAGCATTGCCGCTAGCGGTAGCAATAGCAGTCTATCCAGCGACACGAGCAGTGCCGTCTCGGCCTTGGAAGCCGAAGAAAAGTCTCTTCGAGACCGGCTGATCGTGCTAGAAGAGCAGAAGTTCTTCGTGTCCGAAATGATCGCCGATGCCAACCGGCGGCGTAAATTCGATGAAGTAAGCAGCCTAGCGATGAATGTCGAGGACTTGAGCCGTGAGATCGATCGCGTTAATGGCATGCTCGCTGGTCTTGATTTTGAGGGTGTTTACACGGGGCATCCGCAGGCAAGTTCTTGACTTGAGTTTTGATTGTTGGGATTATAATATTTTCTTTTCGTTTACACGCGCTGCCTGCACATATATCTCCCTTACTTCTTTTTGGTCCCACCCGTCTACTCTCGTTTACACTTTTCTTTATTTCTAATGTTCTGGAGTTCGAGCACTTTGTTTTACGATGATATGTGCATAGCATCGGGCGTTGGGTCTTTCTAGGATATATACTCCCTACAATCAATGGCTTTGCTATACATATACTTCGGGGATGAATTAATAGGTATTCTAGATGTGAACTTGTATATATCCATGTTGGAGAATTTGACTCGACTAGAAGGTCGCGCAGGAGTCGTGAACCTATGACAAAACAATGGACAATAGAACACACAAAGCCATAACAGAGCAAACATATATCACAAAGTATACCACTTGTCCACACATCCATAGAGAAAAATATTTCTTCACAGCTTTAGTAAAGCCCCGAAATCCTGCCATGGTGAATATTATAGAGGAATTGGTATTGAAATGGTGCCAGAGTAGGATACGAACTAGATCGCGTGGAAAGGAGTTGATGCGAGGAAGAAAATCCAGGATATTGTCGTTTAGTCGAGAAATGATCCACGTAGCAGTTCGTATTGGAGAGTAGGCAAAGAGGAATGACAAGTCCTGGGGTCAATTTATATGCCAACGACAGAGATAACTACTACCTTGTACAACTACCATGAAGCCAATTATATAGGTTATAGTAGCTTCATGGGAACAAAGGAATAAAGGAGCAATGAAAATGAAGATAGAACAAGAAAGAAGATATGACCTGCTCTGACAAGCTACAATGCCAGCAGTTTAACAAATAAAAAAATGCGTAAGATGATTCTATCAAGGTGTTTCGGGACGAATAAATGATAGTCCACCCTCTTGGCGAAAAGTGAGGTTAATCTTAGGGTGACCCCGCCTGGAATTCTAGTACCGCCTTCCTAATTAGGTGCCACTCATTCCGTCATACATATCTCTGCGCCATAACTAGCCGTCTTACCGCCCCTATACCTTGGTGGGATGTTATTCTGTCCACTTCTGGTTTATATAGTGGAAGAAACATGCATTTGATCGGAAAAAATCGTATATTCTACCTGATTATTATAGGATTTGAGATTACATAAAGAATATAACTAACTAACTAACTAGTTAGTTATCCCTTCCGAGGTTATAAACACGATTAGTTACATTTCCAAAAAAAGTGATTATGTAAGCTCAACCTGGAGCCCCCTGGTGACTGGTCTGATTTCTGCCGAGGTCGTAGATCTTATCACTTACCTGCCCCTTGCAACCCCTCGCGACAGGTACTTTCCGCGTGATTCTGCCGAAATGCGTCTCGAGACGTTATCAAACACTTCGAAGTCTATCGTTGACTCCATAAGGGACGAGATCAAATAGGGGAACACGAAGCGTGAGAGCAAAATCGCAAGCGGATGGAGACATGGCGGGGAAGAATTTGTGATCCTTGTGGACTCGCTGAAAAGTGAGATCGAAAAAGACCTTCAACAACACGGCCTACATGTGAATATGTCTCTTTGCCATTTATTTGTTGGCAGTCCACTGATTCTTGGAGGTATTGGCATGTGCTGTGCGACACTTTAACAGAATGGAGAAAATCATCAACCCGCTTTATCCCACAAAACGCTTGATTATACTACCTATCAATGGAGTATTGACAATCCCCCCCGGTGACTTGCTTCCGATCGACACCTATTGCTTTATTGATGGTTTACCGACGCCTTCTGGGGAGAACATTGATTTGGTGGTTGTGGCATATGAGGTAAAATCTCAGAATGCATAGCGACATGAAAGTACCATCAAAGAAAATATATCACATGAGTGGAAGAAACTGAAAGTTATGGCTGTCTGTCTTTCCTTGAAGAAGTATGACTAGCAAGCAGTCTGAGGCTCGGAAGAACTACATTGGGACAAATAGCCTCCTGCCCCGTCGTCCCCAATAATATTGAGGCGACCAGTATCTTGCCCCAAAAGAAACATATCTGGGTTCAATCCTTGCAAAAAAATAAAAATTGAAGTCCACCTCGAACGGCTCATAGCCTGGGAAGTCTGTAAGTAAAAATTTGAATAAATTCTCTCTTATTGATCTGACTTCACCTACCATCGGCTTCATCGCTAACTTGCTTATCAAAACAAGGTTGAGGGTTGATCATTTCGGGATTCTGACCATCGAGCTCTTGGGGAAGAAAATTGAAGTCCACTTGAAACGGGTCATAGCCTGGGAAGTCTGTCAGCCCAGGTTGGGAACCTGCCTTTTCATTATGACAAACCATCAGCCATAGGTTGGTCTATCACCTGGCCTCCCGCGGAATCGTCACCCATTGCATTGGATATTGGAGGGTTTGCGGAGACATTCATGGCGCCCAATCTGTCATCTTCAGGTGCCTCGCTGGGGGTTTCCCATTCTAGTGCCGACGTAGGCATTGGGGTCACACCTGAACGCCTTTTCTGGCTCTGTTCAACGCCCTCAGAATCAAAAGCCCGTTTCTGCCCCTTCTGCTTTCTATAGTTCTCTGTAACAACTAAGCCTTTGAAGCTTGTACACTAGAACAAGAAACGTACTAGTCTTCATTGTAAATCAGCAAGCACTGACGTACCCAGTCAGTCTTTTTTTCTGCGAAATCAGACCACGTCGAGCTTTCACGGATAGAATTCGCTAGTGATTGCAGATGTGGATAATTTATCTGACGAAATGCAAATGACACACCGAAGAGGACCGCAGAGACCCCGCGGCTTCCGTAGATGTGTTCGAATGAGTGATACTTCAATCCGTACTGTATTTCTTTCCTGATGGATTCGTCTTTATCGTGAACGAAGCTCAAAAATTCACTGACATGGCCTTTCCCTCTGTTATCTGCGTCTTCTGCCGTAAGAATCAAGAATTCTTCACGAGGTTTTCTGTACGTTTTTTGCGCCCAGATTAGATATTCATCGGCAAACGAATATCGGGCGAGCCAACCCCGGAATTTCTGAGTCCAAGTACGATTGCGCTTTGTGAGTTCGATGTCAACATAGCGAGGGTCACGCTGTGTCCACTTCTTTTTGGAAAAGACTGCATGGGCTTCTTTCTTATCGGTAAAGGCGTGGATTTTCTTGGACTGACGGTGGATAGTTTCCATCAGCTTACTGACTTTATTATCTTGCTTTTCTTTAAGCGCCAAGAGACTCGGGCGCTCCCGTAGGCACTACATAGTTACCTTCAGCCCAGCCCAAATGATCTTTGAACCGTTCTCAACCAGACACTACTGTAGCGATGAACATTGACATAGGACGTCGTGCACTTTCAGCCTTTCCAAACTTGAGAAACTGTTCATTTCATTGTTTTCAACCACGCACATCTCCCCTCGTTTCAGGACCACCACGGTCACAGTCAACGACCACTACCCTTCCTCCATTTCGCGTCGTTCGCACGGTCACGAGTCTCTCCGAGAAAATGACAACACCAAATCCTGATTACGAAGACTTCTTCCGTTACACGAGTGGACGATGGCTCTGGAATGAAGAACAGCAGCTTAAGGACAGGTATAAGGCCTTCAACGTTACTGAGCTCCAAAGCCTCGCGGCCAAAGCCGTTCAATCAGACAGCTGCATATCCATAACGAAGCTGGCCGAGGGATGATATAACAAAGTTTTCCGTTTGATCATGAATGATGGAAAAATAGTGCTTGCTCGTATACCAAACCCAAATGCCGGCCCAGCGTTCTATTCCACCGCGTCCGAGGTCGCTACCATGGAGCTTGTAAGTTTACCTTGAACCTTAATCGCACGCCGGCTATTCATGCTTAACCTAGACTCGAGATGTCCTTCAAATTCCCGGGCCCCGAATCTTTGATTGGAGTGCCACATCAAATAACGCCGTTGGCTCGGAATACATCATTATGGAAGAAGCATCTGGCACACAGCTTGGAGTCGCCTGGGATCAGCTGGGTCCGGACAAAAAGCTTTCCATTATGAGGGAGCTAGTGACTATCGAGTCAAAGATGCTTGCGGTGTCATTTTCGCAGTACGTCTATTCGCTCATTCACAAGCCCATGCGTAATCTGATTATCTCGTCAGCCTTGGCAGCATATATTTCGCGAGCGATGCAGTGGAAGGCGCAGTTCCAGCCATGCTCACCAGCGGAGCTTCCTCTGAACTCAAAGAGCGAGTATACAAGAAATTCAGTATTGGGCCTACCGTCGACCGAAGCTTTTGGAACAAGGAGCGCTCGTCGATGCAGATCTCGCGGGGTCCTTGTAAGCATTCTCACATACGTCTTTCAATTGTTTTGGTTTTTTTTTTTTTTGCTGATTTTCTTAAGGGCAAACACCCCAAGAATATGCGCTAAGCGTTGGCTGGCGTGAATTGGAATGGATCAAAAAATTTGCAGTTCCGAAACCACCAAGCGAAGCAGCCCTGGTTTCTTCGGCCCAAAACAATCCACAAGCACATATCCAGCTGTTAGAAAGGTATCTCAAAGTGGCTACAGCTCTTATGGACATTGACCCCGTTCTCACTCGTCCTACATTATGGCACGGAGACCTTCATTCATCCAATATCTTTGTGGATGATGGCCATATATCGGCTATCATTGATTGGCAAGGCTCGTGGGCAGGTCCACTCCTTCTTCAATCCCAACCCTCTCCGATCGTGGACTACCGAGGCAGCATTCTACTTCAACGCCCAGACAATTTTGACGATCTAGGCCCTGAGGAGCAAGCTGAGATCAAGCAAAAAATATCCAAATCGACGCTACATCAGCTCTATCTGCTCGAGACCAAAGAGCGCAACCCTCTTCTTGCCGAAGCGTTCCATCTAGATCATGGGAAGACAAGGCGTCTTCCGGTCGAATTTGCCGGAAACACATGGGATGATGACATATTGTGTTTTCGTGAGGCACTCATTAACGTTGAAAGGTAGCTATCTCACTCAGTATCTTCTTCCTTTTCGGACAGTATCTAATTGCCTATTTCAGATATTGGCAAGAACTTGGCATCCAAGGCGAATGTCCGTATCACTTTACGGAGGATGAACTACATAGTCACTCTATTGATAGCGAGGGTTGGAACGACGTCCAGGATTTCTTTGATAGTATAGAAGGTCTTGTGAAACGAGATGGCTGGACAAATCCCGATTCGTTCGACGCTGCTTTTAACTTCTTTTCAGAACTCCGAGAACAGGGCTTGGGGTATATGAAAGGGGAAGAAAGAAAAAAATTTGACAGACTGACTCGTTGGGCCCGAAAAGCCCACGGGGCGTCAGAACAATAGCGAGTCTTTACCACGCTTCACGTTATCCGACCGCTAATTTGACTCCCACAAAATTGTGGTATTAAGCTACTATTCAAATCTAGATCCTATTTACATTTACATTATTGCATATAGCATACAATCTTAACTCCGGTATCGAGCAATTTGAATTGGATTAAAGGTTCTTCCTGAAATAGTCCACTAGCTTGGGGCCCGACTCGGTCGCATTGTCGTACAAAGCAGCATGGTCTCGTCCTTCGATGACGAAAAGCTCCTTCGGTTCCTTCGCGGCCTTGATAGCATCCTCGCTGTAGAACTTCGTGCTAGCGTTAGCGCCAGCAATCATCAAAAGAGGACGAGGCGAAATCAGGTAGTTGAAAGCGTAGGCGTCGAAGTTGGCCAAAAGATCCGCACTTCTGGTTGCAAACAGACCAGGTGCACGTTCGTGCTGACCTCGCGGTGTTTTATAGTATTCTGCCAATTCTTTGACAATGGGTGGGTATTCCGGGGGGACATCCTGCACGGTTGGAGGAAGGGCAGGGTTAACTGGAGCCTGCTGCAGCATCTCGGGACCTCCCATTCCTTCCACAAGGCCTTCTCTTGTCATTCGGCCAGTGCAGACGACTGCCCTTATTCGTTGGTCGGTTTGCGCAGCGAATGGCACATAGCCACCCTAGGCACAGATACCAAGAGCTCCAATTCGTTCTGAGTCGACGTCTTTGCGCAGAGAAAGATATGTAACACCGGCCCTGACATCTTCGGCTCGTTGGGCTGGGTCTTCGAGATACCTTGGCTGGCCCTCGCTTTCGCCTTAGTAGGCGGCGTCAAATGTAAGGCAGATGAACCCGGCAGGTGCCAGGACTTTCGAATAAACATGCGGGGCTTGTTCTTTCACTCCAGTCATAGAATGAGCGATGATAACTGCGGGGTACTTGGTATTGGGGGAGTACCCAGGAGGGAGGAATACATCGCCAACGAGCTTGATTCCTCTGCTGAGGAAATCAACTTTTTGAACAGAGCTCATGGTGGAAATTGAGATTGGTCTTTGATTGAGTGTTAAAGAACGATAAAAAGAGAAGATATAATTGCGATATATATGTGCCTTTTTGCCTAGTATCACGATTTAGTGGGAAGCTCCTCGGGGTAATCCTTAATATGAAGGTCATCCATTGATATTGATGACACGGAACTTACTTAGTGCCCTCTTAACTCCGGGATTGACGTCATAAAGTAATTTTCGGATTCAACGGAATATACTTCACCGAAGTATATCCCTTGAGACAATGCATTTCTTCTATAATCACACAAATCCAAAGATAGCAAACAATTCTTGAGATTAAGAGTCTTGCGCTCTAGGAGAAGCGATACAGAGTCTGATCGAGGTTATTGCGGCAGGTAACAAACAGCACGTATGTACGGAGCACATAGTGCAGTGGGGAAAGCCGGAATCCTCAAGTAGTGGCCTTATCGTTCAGGCAGAGAGAAAACCTCCGGGCCTTCATGTCTACTAGATCCTAGGGTAGAGAAGGTAGTGTGGTCATCACCCCACCGAATGAGAAATGAGTTACAAGATGTTGTCGCATTAGGAGGCAAGGATGTGTACTGTGGTCTATGTGATCTCTATGCTTGCTAGCTGACCGTCCTAGATGGTTGGTGTTGTTGTGTCGCTCTCGTCTTGTCTGCTAGGCCAGACTGCCCATCGTGCATATCCCTCTTCCAAGTCTTTCTCTTAAATGGTTACTTACGAGGTGTATGCACCTCGGCCTTGGTGTCCCACGCTAAAAGCCTTTTGATATACAGTAATCGTGCCAACGCTATTTCTTTCCTAGTACTCCATCGGTATTGGTGCGTCCCAGCAATTATGATTTCCCGCCAGCTCATAACTCATAAAATTAGGTATCGCAGTGGGGGATTCCAGTATAGGATGACTAAGCGGCCACTCCTGAGGCAAAGATAGCAACGCAGACACCTTCAACCACCTTCTCTTCTCAGTAGTCACCCCATGGTGTTCTCCTCTCTAGCACCCTACTACTCCCAGTGACGACTCTGCTCTCACACCTGTTTTGCAGGCAGGGCTGTCGGTGCCCCTGCTGTCCCCGTTGCAGGTCCCCTCTTCAGTATTCAGTATGGACATGCAAAAAATACGGAACGGACAAAAGCCATAACCTTCATTCTTTATGAACCAACCAGACAACCTCACGAACATTTCAAAACAACAATATATCAAACAGACGCACAATAGCACCAATTCTTAAGTTTATAGTTATATAAACCAGCTCAAGCAACCCGCATCTCCAGAACGTTCGGCTATAAAGCCCAAGCCCTATCATCCGCTGCGAGCATACCAATATACCAGATCCCCAACAGCACAGAGATCTGTCCAGGCCCACCACTTCGCCAAGGTACAGGTGAGGCAACTGCCAAATGACCATTCTGATTCAACCGCTTGACAGCAACAAACTCCTTATCTGTCAAAATGAAACCGTGCCGAGCACCATGTTGCTTCATATAGAAATTCACCTGCGCCAAAACCTGTTTGTACTCTGTTTGCTCCGCATGTTGCTGCGATTACCGCATAGAAGAGTGCTATTTCCACGACACTTTCAAGTCACCAGGAGCTCGGTTGGTGTTCGTGAGATAATTGCCGCCAACCACCACAAATGCGGTGTCTGGTTTGAATTGATCGATCAGAGCAGCAGCGGGCCCTCCATCGAAAGTGACTGCAGAGAGTTGCCGTTGGAGAAGTTCAGGTACAAGATGCTCAAAGCCCGCCCGGAGACTGCGTCGAATGCGAGGCAGGACCCAATTCTGCAAATCGTAGGTGCAGTTGTGATTCATCTCTAATTGCCGGTGGTGGAGATAAGAATGTTGGTTCAGACCTGAGTTGTTTGGCATTCAAGGTCGTTCCATATCGTTGGATGATTGTAGCATACTGAAAGTCGGACCACAAGGAAATGCGTTCGATGTCATTTGCGCCATATTTAGGGTTTGTCGTGTTGTGAGAAGGACGGGCTCCCTGAATTGGAATTGCCGGCATTCCCACAGAAAGGTATTGAAGTAGGGATTCGGTTGACATCGGGTAAATCTAATATGCGTAGGTAGGGATACTAGCGAGCCTTGTTCAGATATGGCCAACAGAAGAAACGGGGGGGGAATGAGTTGCTTTAAGAAGACCACTCGTACAGCCCATTGAGGCACCATGTGCAATTATGAAAATAGGCGCCTGGAAAGAGGGGTCGGGCATGCTACTCGGCGCAACTTGATACAAGATGCCACAGGGATGTGAAGGTTTAGATACACCCGAGTTCTAATACCTGATATGCAATAATGTTACAGGTAATCCATAGGACTATTAATATCTCTAAGTATATCTAAGTATATATGTAGTATCCATCTTATACATACAAGTTGGTGCGTGGCGACTAAGATGCCAAATCGAGATTACAGCTGGCCCATGATTATCATGCTTCAGAGGATACTTGACGGTTTTTGATAGTAGTGAAATCAATGATCAGGGCTTGCATTCACGTTGAAACCAGACATGGTGTGCACAAAACAAATGCTCAAAACGAAGCACTGAATACTGGTTTAATAGAATTTCGTATTCGGAGGCAAACCCTGCTTTTGGTCCTCGTGCTAGTAACATGTATCAGTTTCCGCTATAATTATAAAGGGGGCGCGAAGTGGATTGAGGGGAAACCTTACAAGCATTTCTGCAAAGCTAGCAAGCAGCTTAGCTTCATGCTCACACTCTAACTGCCCTTTCTGTCCCATCGAATCTTGTGTCTCGAAGGACATTGCAACATCAAAATCTATCCACACGACCCGCTCCGGTTGAGTAGGTACAATAAGGATGTTTTTTGGATAAACGTCGTAGTGATTGATAAGAGCGCGATGGATTTCCTTCATCCCTTGGGTGGCCAATTTTAGACGCTCTTCGGAATAGTTGACACAGTTCAATTCTTCGGCACCTTCTAGGTACTCGAGTATAATGGCCCTCGGGCGCATTTCATTGGCTAGGAAATGGTCGAGGTGTGGACGAAAGGAGGATGGATCGAGACGATCAATATACCCATAGCAACGTGGGACGAGCCCGCTCTCGCATACATCGAATTTTAGCATGTTGTTGTAGGCGTTATATTCACAACGGAAACGATTCAAATCCCTGCCGTTCTCTGCAAATCCTGGATCTCCATTGTCATGAAACTGCGACCGGTATTAGGCTTGAGTCAAGTCCTAGCGAGAGACAATCTTATAACCCATCAGTTTCATTACACAGTGGTTGCTGCCAAGATCGATCTCAAAAATCGAAGAAGAGTCTGAATGTCTGATGTCTCTTTTGATTGATATCGAATCAATATCTGAGTCAAGAAGCGGCAAATACATTGTTGCTGATCACATAAGGATGTGATAGCATGTGATCGTATGTTGGATAAATCGGCGAGCCAGTTACAGTGCAATAAAACAGTACCTGATTTACCCCCTTGATTGGCCTGGGTTCAAGATGACTAAGCGAATAGCCACTCCTGGGCTAACTACCCTGGAAAATGCAACTTACTAGGTACATACCAGGGACCTACAACCCAATGCCTGTACATCTATGTACGATGTACCATACACTCGCACATTGTATCTGTGATAACGATACACAACGCAAATGGGCGCCACGTATGATATAGATCGATGCGATCCAATTTCCCACCTATTCTAGGAGAGAGGCTCAACGCACGGATCTTTGGCTAGGTGAATTTTGGGCAGGAGTTTGAAGCGCCAGAAAAACGGAGCATGAAAGCCCTCATATGTTGCGTAAAAATAGAAGTGAACCACCAATAGCGTTGTCTATCAAGCCGCCCGTCCTAGCAAGCTGTAACGTAATCCTCCGTGACCGAACCGCCCAACTTTTCTCGCCCGATTTAATAATATATTCTAACTAACTAACTAGCGTCCGCGGGTAACTAGCGAACCCTCTACTCTGTACGTAAAATCATAAATGTGGGGCAGAATTCAAGCATGTTGTTCTAACAGAGACGCCTCAGCTCACCCATTATTGCGGACCTTGAGCCCTTGTAGTGTTTCTAAATAGAGGATTTTGTAGGATATGCAAAGATATATGGTAAATACCTAGAGATTTGTCTTTTGTAGGTATCACTGTTCGGTCTTTATGAAGCTTTTCGGGGTTGATCCTTGACGTGAAGGTATATATATTGTCAAGAATGGGATATGGCCCTTCTAGGCCCTAAACAAGAACCTTGGTTTTTGTTATGGTCTAGTGGTAAATTACGCTGTACGAAATTCGACATATATTATTCCATTAATAGCCCTTTAACTCCGGGGTGATTGACGTCATGGCGTGCATTTCTTCCAATTAGTCACATCACACAACGCATGAAGGAAAAGAGCAAAAAGAGCAAAAAAGAAATCTCAGGTTTGGTTTTAGGAATAGCCGAACGCGGGGGTCGAACCCGCAGCCTTAAGATTAAGAGTCTTACGCTCTACCGATTGAGCTAGCCCGGCCGGGCTGTTGTAGAGAGCAGCGAAAAAGTGCTTGATGAACGGAAACAAGATATTTGGTAGAATATAGACATGCAGGTGGCGGTCTTAGCGCATCCTGCAGCCCGTTGAGAAGCATAACTGTATATGACACTGTCATATAGGGTTGTATAACTACTTGAATGCTATTTTAATTTAATTATACTGTACCTGGTGTTGGTACATTTAATGGCAACGCAAACCTCTTCAATAATCTCTTGTCAGAAAATCATCCGACATATATTATTTCCCTCCCCACACTATCATTCCGGACTCTCTCCTTCCCTTCCTTTCTCTCAACTCTCCTTTCTTTCATCAACCTCCATCTCCGTTGATGAGGACCACGGAAAACCCTATTTAAGTGCCTTCATGGCACGGTGGTTGGAAACCTGGACTTACACCGAGGAAGCACATCTGAATGTAAGTGTTTCTTGGGGTTTTCAGTCGGATCAATACATAGCTACCGGTCATATTGAGCTAATGATTCTTAGACATGACCGTCAACTCTGATCATTCGGAGACGAGACTGCTGGGATTCAGCTAAGGTCCCCAACGATAGCACCGACTGGACCTGGCGAGCGCACTTCACTTCTCTCTCACTTTAATTTTCACCTACTCTTCTGCTCTGAAAAAGAATCCACTTTTTCGTCGTGGCACACTAAATGATACCCGAAACCCTTTGTCGAAGCTTGAGGATGATCGGCGTCGAGAAAGTCGCATGGTCCGCAATATACCTGGCACAGTACACCTCGCATACCTAGAAGTTTCCTAGGATCGGGAGGATATACGAAAGGGGGAGGCCGAAAGCTTGCGAAGACTTGATGAACACAAAGCCTACATACAACTTCACGCTGGCAACCCAAGTTCGCATACCAGGATTGTGCCATATTGTATATATTGCAATGCTCAAATCTGGTTCGTGGGTCATATCAATGGATTGTACGTACAAGACAAACCGGTACGGTCTTCCGTTACTCGCCATTGTTGGCTTTGCAGCCACAGGATCGACTTTCCATATTGGCTTCGCCTTCATGAAGAACGAGAAGCAGGACACATACGAACTCATCCTTGACTGTCTCGCCGAAGCGTACGAATCGCTTGGTCTAGAATACCCCCGTACGATTCTCACAAACAAAGAAGAGGTGTTGATGAAAGCTATTGAGGCTATATTTCCTGACACGAAGAACATGATTTGTATCTGGCATATCAACATATGTCTCTTGTCCTATTTATATCAACAAGACAAAAGACCCCGATGCCCATTGCATTTCGCTGGCTCCCTATTCCAGCGATAACATCCAACGGCAAGCTAGAATGACCACCGAGCATTCTTTCAAAGTTTCGAGAGCAAAGATCCAAAATACATAGCCGCTGTGCTAAAGACATGAACTATATCATATAGATGAGGTTCACTCGAGAGATCTTCACGGTTACGGCCGATGATCCGATCAATCGGCCACTACCTTCATATGAGTTACTGTTGGATGACCGCATGAACCAAATCCCGTTTGTACCTACTAGAGAGATAGCTCTCGCCCTTTTCTCCCTATCTATCAGCACACATCCGAATCAGATCGCAGACTATTTTCTTCATTATATACACTGTAGTTTGATTCCAATTAGGTACTCAATCTAATGTGGCATTTGACTCATACCGCTAGAATCCAAGCAGCCGGTGAGGATGAAGAGGGTTAATCAACAGAGCTATCAGACACTCCGAATGTTCTTTGAGTGATGGCATTGCTGCAGCTTTATCCCATGCCCATGATCCTGAGAATCATAAGAAGACATGAATCAAGTTGAATTTCATTTCCTTGAGGCAAAGAGGCAAACAGACTCAAACGGCTCTCCCAACACGACACTTGTGCGCGCCTCGAGTTTGATCCCGAATTTTCAACCCGGGGAATCATCTGATAATGAAGCGGGGACCGTGTCGGCCTGACCCGAAGACGGCTTATCCACTAAAGACGGCGAGAATATTGCTGCTACAAGCATGAAGAAACCGAGCGATATCGGAGACAAAGACTAGAACTAAAAACTGACCCTGCAACTGGAACGTGCCTACAACTAACTACATGTAGCTAGTAGTTGTTGATTATTGCCATATTCATTAGGTGTTAACGACGCTAATAAGGGTCCAGGTTAGGGCACGGATGAATTAGCTCAGCTCCAGCAACTTCCTACAATATCATACCTAGGCCCACGAAGCCCCTGGGAGCTCACACAATGCCGTGCAATATCGGTATAAGCCTCGAACAACATATAATGGTTGAAATAGTGTCGAATTAGAGACCGTGCTGCGCTTAGCCAAATAATCTAAAAGAAACGAGATATATGTCAAAGATGATGTGATTACCGCCGTTACCGATGACAGTTTCCGTCTGCGCAAAGAGGATACACAGAACAACACTCAGGCTAGAGAACGTCATCCGGCATAGCTAGCTCGTTTCAACTGCTATCGGAGCATGCGCCACTAGCAAGACAGAGTGGGACTGTTACTACAAGCGGGATAGCGTATGCCGGCCTTTCGCCGGCTTTGATCCATACTATGTACTTAATGCTAAGCGTAATGATAACTGACAAAAGCACGTGGATCCCGGTGTGTGAGAATAAAATCTGGGGGCCGGTCGGGGCGGGGCAGTGTACAATACGTTATTATCGTGTACTCCGTACAAGCCGTTGTTCTAAACAAAGAGCAAAAGGCAAAGAGCAAAAAAGGAAACATTAAAGTTTAGATATATTATAGCCTATCTAACTCCGGCACAGCCAGTCATGACTGATCCTCCGAAACATAAAACGTTTTTTGGACATTCACCCCCTGAAAGAAGGTACCGTTTTTCGGATTCAGGTCTTCCTGGCTACTCGTCCGGCTAGTGGCGGACCCATTCGAGGTGTGAATCGTCGTTACCACGGCATGTTGGTCTGGCCGGTCTAGGTCTGGCCGCCAGTATTGCGGGCCCGACAGGGTGGAGCGGCCTCCGTTGATGCTGGAGAGGGGTATGCTGCCGCCGGTGCGCTTGGTTTTGCTCTTGCTTCCTCCTGCCGAGCTGGGATCGCGAAACCAGCGGAATAAGGGTCGGAGGGTTACTAGACTGCCTGCGGCGATTCCGAGGCCGGCTTCGACGTTGGACCAGATCGAGATGTTGGTGGTTGCGTCTGGGGTTGTGGTGTTAGTTGTTGATCATTTCACTTATCGAGTGTGTATAAGAATAGAAACTCACATAGGAAGTCGACATCCTTGTAGTCGTGCAAGAAAGGAATGCGAATGATGACTGCTGCGCTCGCGCTAAATCAATAGGTCAGTACTAAGTCTCATTTTAGGGTTTCCAAGGGTAGACATACATGCATCCCATTCCCAGAATACCCGCCAAGGCAGACTTGGTCCTTATGTTCATCTGCAGGTTCCACACCAGGGCAATCGGCAAAAGACCCAGGGTCAGATCACATATTGTAGCAGTGATACTGTAGACATAGGCCATGGCGATGATATGGTCCAGCTCCATGCAGGTGCCATGAACATTGGCATGAGGGTTCGAGTAAAGGCGAACTCGTTGCCAGAAGAACTCAACCGGTTGGCATTGCAGCGTCAACATGAACCAGAAGATCAGACCAATCGTACAAGTGACGGCAATGACAGCCCATAACACGAGTTTGTGGGGATTAGAGACTGTCAAGCGGAGGAGCGCGAATGCGATGGAGATCTTGGCTAGTGAACAGGTCCACACATAGCTGGTTTGACCGAGCCACCACCACTTTGGGAAGGTTTAGCATGTGATTTTCATCTTGGAATTGAAGGTGGACATACAAACATTGCGGTTTCCATCGTACCCTTCTTCACGAGATCATCGGATCTTTGGCCCATTCCATATAATGCGCCAGTGATACCGCATAGAGCGAACAGGATGTTCAACAGCTGCAATTCGATCAGTCCGGTTTCAATTGCACATGAAACTATCATACATACCATGGCGCATACCATAAAGGTATCATCCCAGCCAAAGGCCTTGACAAGGCGAATGCGCACGAAGCATCGTAGAACCACGGCAATGAATGAAATTCCAAGAAAGACAGTAGTAACGATAAAAATTGACTCGCTGCGGCCTTCGAGGGGCAACATCTTGACCGGGAGAATGAATGTATGGTCACCAATTCATGGCCCGTATAGTTTCCCTACCAAGTATGCAAGGATATCCGAAGGAGCAACAAGAATACGATATATTAGCGAGAGGAAATTACTACCCTAAGGGAAAACCCGCTACGATGCAGATCAAGCCTTACGATCACGAGCATCAGTGGCGAGAACGGGCTACAACATGAGAGGGGGCCATGATACTATCCTAGTTGTTTCGATTTTTCTAAAAAAAAGAAAAGAAAAGGCGAAAAGGGTAAATTAGGTAATTAGGCAAAAAGAAAGTCGTCCCGTTTAAAAGCCTCCACGGAGTCAATATCCCTGGCCAACGGTAATATGCACGTTGGTTAAGATGGGGTTAGACAGCTGAGAACCTTGGGACCGTGAAGGTTTCACGTGTGGGGGAAGCAGGTCGAGAACTCAAAATCAAATCAAAACGGCAATCCCTTCCAATAACACCTCCAACAACCAAAGGTTCTTCATGCAAAGACGGAATCTAGCCTTCAAAGAGAAGGCGCACCGAACTTGTGGAAGCCGGGCGACTGTTCTGAATACGACGTCGGGAAGCCAAAAAACTATGATACCAGCCCATGGACTCCACTGATGTCCGCCAATCACCCATGACCAGCGGAGTCGCTAGAAAAGATCACAGTCCGTGATCCTGTGTACTCCGTACATACCGCGATGCTACCGTGATGCTAGTGTCGGACCATTCTACAACGGGAAGCCCTAACCAAAGTTGCCATCCGTCGTCAGGGGGGAGCACTCCCGCCTATCCTCAACCCAGTGGCAATCCTAGGGTATGGTACGGAATAGACGATCCTTGTCTAGGGTTTGTGACATGCATTGCCAAGGAAACTACTGATTTTTGACGATATTCCCGCACTTGCCCGAGATCTCGAAGCAGATGGACTGATGGACATTGTCATGAACTGATCTGGAGTTTCGATATCGAGATCTGATTGATACGCAAACCGTCTCCTCTTAAGGGGGAGACCTTTAGATGGTCCAGTCACCAGTGTGAGGCGAAACATTCGATCAGCGGGGACCTCGGTAGACGTGGTACGATCTGCAGTATATTGTGTCGGAAATTACCTGACACTAACCTCTGATCCACAACATCCCGGCAATCTTGCTGTCCCTGGACCATTCTCTGACTATGTTGTACCTATATGTCAAGCTACTATTGTATCAGTATGAGCACTACAATACTATTGTATATCTAGCCTATACAGACACCTATCCCACTTATCCTGGTCTTATTGTGACAATATATGATCACCCCGGGATTTACTTATACTCCTAGATCACAATCAAATATGGGTCTTAGCGAACCCGACTCTCAGGCCACCCTTACCATCGGTAAAGAATATCCTTGGCGCACGGGGTCTTCTGGATCAGGCCCTCTAGACTAAGTGCCGAGAGGCTATTCTCTCTAACTTTGGATCGCAGTATGGAGTACGGTAGAAGATGGAACCCTTTCTATTTTGGTAAGGATATGACAGATCAAAGTTAAAATGGCAGATATATAACCGAGTTATCTCCCCCTGACCTCGGCATTTCGGGGAGCACTTACCTGTGGGGCTGAGATAGAGGCTGATCTACCTACTCAAGTGTACGGAGTACTCCGTACCAAGTCAACGGGTCGTGATGCGGCCCTTGCTCGTCGCATATGGAACGAGAGCGAGCAAGCGAACCGAATGCGCGGTATTGGTAGCAGAACTTCAGGCTTACCATGACGTACGCTGCGAGTTGTCTTGCCGTGTCCTATTATAGACCGACTGATCTACTTCTTACAAGGGTCCCGTTCACAAGCTTACGATTTATAAGCGTGACGCTCAGATCTCTACCCCATACGCCATGCTCTACCCAGGTAGGTTTTGACCAAAACAGTGAATTCGCTACATAATACAAACTCGCATGCTGGAATGAACCCAAATCGAATATTTACATATTAAGTTGCACAGTGCACATGTTTAATCCAGTGGTAAGGCCTCCAGGGCAAACTTACTTCCACTGAGCAGGCTTGGTAGCCTGGAAAGCCTTGAGGATGGCGATCACCTTCTCCAAAGCAGCGACCTCCTTGGCCATCGCCACAGCGACCTTTTCCTGATCCTCACCCAGCTTCGCGTAGAAGTCCTTACGGTATGGTGTGGCAGACATGGCCGCGCTGAAGATGGGCTTGACGAAGAAGGAGTGGTAGGGCTTGAGGGTGTTGCCGTAGGCACCGCGGAAGGAGTCTGAGAGTTCCGCGGAGGAGTTGTCGATGTTGTTACGGAGGGCTTGGACGGTGAAGTCGAGGCCTCTGTGAGAAGAACAATGATTAGTCAATGGTTCATGCAGATTGTGCAAATCGAAGAGATGCCATTGCAATTGGCCCCTTCACGATCGAGACATGTGAACATACCGGACCAGCCAGACCAGACCTTCGGTGGCGACGTGCTTGCCGGTCTTCAATTCGTTCAGGACAAGGGCCTGCAGGGTCTCGGACTCTGCAGGAGCGGCCTCTTGGCGCTCACGGACTTTCTGGTGGTGTTTTAGAATGGGTTGACACCGGCGGTATAATGTGGACGAACCTTGATGTTGCCGAGCAGGTCATTCTTGACCGGGGTGAAAGCGGCAGAGCCAAGCACATCTAAATGTTCTATGCATTAGTTTGAGGCAGGTCTATGCAAGGGAACAATACGCACCGAAGAGAGTCACCAGTGACTCGGCGGCCTCGAGGAACTCGGTGGTCGAGATGCCATCGTCCGCACCAATAGGGACATCAGCGAAGGACTTGTTGATGGTATCAAACCATGTTCCGTCAGCGGGGATAGCAGCCATTTTGCAGAATAATTCAAGTAGAAGATAGATAGTGAGAGAAAGAGAAACCTTGGAAGGAGCTTAATCAGGGGACTCTTGGATATTATCGACTTCACCGCTGCTGCCACGCAAGCCAATGGCGGGGCACGGGGGATGTGGAGACCACGGGAGGATGCAAACAGAGTAAACAAGACCAACACGGTGAAGTGTCAACAACTTGTTTGCATCGTTTGCAGCGTTTGACCTGGCAGCGACGTCATCGGACCATATCACATGGCGATCGAAAGTTCTGTGCCTGGGCCATCTGCTTGCTCCTGCATATGTCTGGTGCATGCCATTTGGTCTACCAGGGTGCTGCATAATAGATTGACATGAGCTCTCCACCAGACGGGGCCAATGGCTCACGACCAGAACCCGACTCCCGCCCGTCATACCATGAAGATTATCATGGCTTGCGGACTGGCTCATACACAGACCAGCAATTGGTATGTCACCATCCTTTGAGTTGGGTTGCAGAACTGATCTATTTTTTGACAGCGTCATGCTTCTGCCAAACATCTGCACATGACGAACCGGAGATTTTTCGTCGGTCCAATTCCAGAAGGCTGGCTGCACGGTCATCGCAAGTCTTGGTATAGGTCTCGACTGAAAGTCAGAAACTATACATCGCATGCCGTCACGTTCTCTGCAAGCCCTATTGCGGCCCATTACGAGGAGCATAACGATAGGCCCACCCCAGCGTCACCCGACTTGGATGAGCAGGTCGCCTTGGCGCTTACCAACACAAGCACGGATGATGCTGCTGCGGAGCGATGTGATGATATTGAAGGAGAAACACAAGAGGAAGGATCTGCAGCAGATCCTGTGGGGGAACTGAGGACCCTAACCCACCCTGTAGCTGAGGCCAGCGGTGACGACCTCTTACCGACAGAGGACACCTTACCGGCAGACGACACAGAGACTAGAGAACATAGCGTGGAAGATGACAGAGCAAACACCGGGAATAGCGGAGGAGACAGCGGCGAAGATACAGACAGCACCCCCAAAGCCAGACCAAGGGGGCAATACGACATAGACAGCAATGATGTTGCTTCATCTTCGTTTGTCACCGCCAGGGAAGAGGCCCCCAGCTCTGATACCAGTCGATCAATACCCACCGTACGATCTAGCAGTCTGGAACCGCCTGAGCTGCGACCAAAGTCCCCGGGCTCACATCATACAAATTTGGCCGGTCATTCTTCTCCCAACCCTCTAACCACCAATACATCCATAGTTCCAAGCGAGGCCGATTCGACAACTCAGTTGATTCAAAGCAAGGACACGGACAAGGGGAAGCATAAAAGCAAGTTATCTGGCGTATCTCGTGCATCGCTTCAACGCCACGACCCACAAGATGAAGATGATACTGGCGAAGATGCGCAAATCCAACGGAGACTCCCTGCGAAGGTGGCAAAATACAACCTGGGTGACAACATCAGACATAAGGAGCAAAAGATGCGCCACAAGATTGCAAAGACCCAAGGTACTATGTCTGCCAAGCGACCGCACCGCCGGAAAGTGCAGGACGGAGAGATTGTCAAAGCAGAAAAAATGCTGGTCTGCGTGGAGGAGACTCTGCAGGACAGACTTCCCGCCGATTATACCGAGAATGACAGTCTGCGCATGGAAACGCGGACCGTGGACAAATGGCGAGAGTTCCTCGTCGTATGCCGCAAAAGCTCTATAGAGCATGCGCCATTTGCCATTCAGATGTACCGCACTCGCGTGATTCCTGATGTGCAACGTGCGAACAGCAAAACGCCTCCTTATTACGAAGTAAAGCTCAACCACAAAGATACCCATGTTAACTTCTATTCCCCCTCGACAAGACCATCGTTATTTGGCGTCCCCGCAAGCATGGAACCAAAATATTTATCCTTCGGCCAAAGTCCTCGGCGCACTCTGCGGAATGGTACACTTTCATCCGCCAGGTGCTTGGATGGCGGCGTCCCACCTCCCTCCCTATTCACGTCCCTGATCTGGGGGTTTCCCTCATCTTTCAAAATCCTTTCGATCAGATAGAGGAAGGGCTGAAAGCAGATGATTCTGATACCGAGCACAATCCAACTGTGAACCGGCCAGCCGTCGATGACAAGTTTGCTGCCGCTACCATCATCCGAGGATGCATGGATATGCTCGAAGGCCGTGCCGAGTGGGCCGAGGTCTTGAAAGCTTGGTCCAAGACCGAGAAGATGGGACTTGCTTGGAAGCGGTACGACCGACTCGAGTGGGTATTTGGAGTCAACGAGGAAAAGATGTATGGGACTATTGGGATGCAGTCATCCCACGAGCTTGAGTTACGACCAAGACATCATTACTCTACTACAATCAGGCATCCGGATGTACAGGAGGAACCTGCCCCGATCGAAGGATTCCTAGTCCGTCTCACATCCCAGAAGGGTGTGCATCAGCGGATGAACAAGATGTTCTTCAAACGGCTGTACTTCTTTACCCAAGATCATTATTTGTTGTTCTGTCGGCCAGCCAGGGCATTTCCCCCGTCACCGCCGAAATTTGATCCCCCAGAAGAAGGAAATGTACCAACTGCCCGTGAGATATTGGATCAAATGCCGCTCTCTTGGGATATCGACCCTTATCCCCTTGAAAGTAACAAGATTAAATGGCTCTCCAGCGGCAATCGTGAGTTCGTGAAACGACACGATGAAGAGGCCTATGCGAACGTGCAGAGGAATGTACACAATATCAGCCAGGCAGATGGGTATATCGATATGTGTCGGGTGACAGAAGTCCGCAATGTCTATCGTGGCAGCTGCCCTGCTGATCCCAATATCGGGGAAGGACCTGCTGTGGACTTCAATCCCCAAACCAGAGACTCACGACGGGATGATGGAGCAACGCAAGAGTTTGACGATGGTAGGACATTTGAATTGGTTCTAAACAATGGTCTTGTCGTTCGACTGCAGGCGTACGATGGTGCCACACGGGACGAGTGGGTCAAACGAATCGATGCGCTTGTGAAGTATTGGCACATTCGCTGCGCGGACGATGCCACGGAGCTGCAGGCCGTACGTCAGCGCAATCTCAAGCTGTTGGGTATCGACGAAGCTATGGAATCCGTTTTCGGACAGTTCGCGAAGAAGTGGGAGGTGTCGAAAGCCGAGGCATCTCCACACTTGCACAACATGTGCTCGCTGTCTAGTTGTCGGACTATCAAGGTATGTAGCGTAACATCGGAAATACATGCACCCTACTGACAACATCAACAGATGTCCGGCACCCTCTACCGCAAGCCCCGTCGCCACACCACTTTCTACCAATGCGATGTCATCCTCACAGCAGGCAAGCTGTTAATTTTCCGCAGCACACTGCGCCGGCGAAACGGCACCGTGATCCCACACATCCATCAAGAACTTGAAACATCCATCGAGCTGGAAGATTGCTATATTTATTCTGGTCTAATTACCGAAAACGACTTGCTGTATGCCAACCAGACATTCGACAGCAATAACCCTGGTGTGCATGCTCTGCCACGGGTGTATCTCGATTCAGATGTCTTCACAAGTCACGATGAGGATACTGCTATCACCTTCGTGATCTGGCAACCCTTGAGTAAGAGCTACTTCCGAGCCCAGGAAATAGGGGAAGAAGGCAAAGCCAAACGATCCTTGCGTCATGTGTCCACGCTGGGCAAGCATGGCCGCACCATCGTGTTTAAAACACGTAGTCGTGTGGAAAAGGACCGTTGGGTGATGAGTATTTCCTCGGAGATTGACCGTCTCCAGGAAGAGAAACATGAAGATATACGGCTTGTTTCTCTAGATGGCTGATTCATTTCCTCGGTCATCTGCATTTCTTAGCCATTCAGTTCTTGTTATATAGCGCTTCGTCTTCACTTTTTTTTTTCGTTCTCGCAAACTTACTCTTTTCGCACACGCATAGCACAGCATTTTACTCAAAATAGTAATATAATGATATCTACAAGGCTCCCTAATATATGTACAAGTCCCAGTCAAAATCGCTAGGAAATCCAGCACTATCAACAAATACAAAGGCCAAGATATACGCCAAGCCCCATCTATAACAAATCAATTCAAAAAAGGCTGCTCGAGCTGAACAGCATCCTTCCGAACACGATCCCGCACACTCTGTCTATACGCCGCATCATCCGACGCAGACTCCCCCTTCCCCTTATCAGAGTCCCAATCCGTCCAATTCAGCCACCGCATCCGCGGTCCCAGCACCGCAAATACCTGCCCAGTAATCAGACTCAGACTAACAGGTCCGTACGTATTGCTATCCAGCGTCTTCCGCGGATCCTCCGCATCACCCTCCAACCAGACATGGTTCCAGGGGACAATCTGCGTTTTCCGCAGACACGGCTCGCGAGTCGTGATGCGGTCACCGGGTAGACCGACGATGCGCTTGATCGCGATATGAGACGGGTTTGCAGGGGAGCTATGCGTAATATATCAGTATTGGCTGCACTCGACTCGTAAAAGAACAAGATATAAAACCCAAAATCGAAGTAAAAGCAAAGCAAAGCAATCAACCCACCGGAAAGTAACAATCATCCCCCGCTCCAACTTCCGCTCTTTCTTAAACGGCAGTATAGATCCCCACGGCCACATATTGACCATAACCATATCGCTCTTCGTGTGCGTCTGCTCATACTCCTCGTTCAAGTATGGTGTCATTGACGGCCCGCGAACCCACATCACCTGCATTACGTGTTCTGGAATGAAGAGCGCGATCGGGAGCATCGGTACCGCCCAGCTGAGAGTCCTACATGCTCGTCGGACTGGGTATGGGAGGGCGGAGAGGCGTTGGCGGAGGTTCGTGAAGAAATGGGAGATGAAGGGTGTTCGTTTTTTGGAGAGGGATGGGCCCTCGTATGTTATAGTATCTGGGATTTTGGGCTTTGGCTCTTCGTGGACTTGCACTCGGTACCGTGAATTCGGGGTTGGTATTCCTCTTGGCCGGTGTGGTTTTGACATTTTTTGGTGTTGGGCGGAGGGCGAGGGGTTGGGGGGGTTGCGGGGGGATTGGTTTTGTTGGAGATGGGGTGTTCAGTGAGGGTTGTTGTGTTTCATTATGCGGTTTTGGTTATCGAGAGACTTGCAATTGGAATTGGAGTGAAGTCATCTCGAGCTGGAATCGTGATCGAGGCGCGATCAGATAAATGTTTGCATTGTTTGCATTCACCTGTGGACGATCTCAGGAATGAGCTTACACTAAGATACTTGTCTACGTCGAAATAATACAAAGAGGAAAGAAACTGCTTACAGGACTATCTCAACGATAACATCGCACTTACTGATATGACAGCTCTGTAGTATGGGTACGAACTGGTCAATGTCTCATCTTCGCCTTACGTGCTACCAGTATAGAGAAAGAAACACTGGGACTTACGATTCTTCAAGGATGGTTCAAGGGGTATTTAGCAAATCCGCTTCATAGCTATCGTGATATTACGGACTGGCAAAGATTATGTTTCGTTCAGGTCATGTAGTAGCGGTCGTTAATCGTGTCGGGGCATGTACCAAGCAAGGCGAGCAACATTTTAGCATGGCGACTCAAGCGTCGCTGCTCTGAGCCAGGTCCTCCGGCGTGGGAGGTAAATACTCACTATAGTCATCATCAGTATCTGCTCAAAGGTGAGAAATGAATAAACTCACGGAATGAATTCCTCATAGGCAATCACATCCTTCCGCTCAAAGTTGCAGAAGATGACACGCTCCAGCTTTCCAGCATTAGGCCCGACCAGGAATTTCCACACCTCTTTGATGGCATCTTCAGCGGCGTATCGACTGGGATAGCCGTATATTCCGGTGCTGATGGCGGAAAACGCAATACTCTTCATGTCATTTTCGACTGCCAGTTCCAGGCTGCGCCGATAGCAGGATCGAAGGAGCGTGACAGGGTCTTCTTCCTTTCTGTAGATTGGGCCGACTGTATGGATCACACGCTTGCAGGGCAGATCGTAGGCATCGGTGATCTTCGCATCGCCAGTGTCACATCCATCAAGACCGCGGCATTCTTGAAGTAGCTTGGGACCGGCAGCGCGGTGGATTGCACCATCCACACCGCCACCTCCGAGGAGAGACCGATTAGCAGCATTCACAATGCAGTCCACTTGGAGCTTGGTGATGTCATTGCGGATGATAGAGATGGTATTGTTGAGAGACTGGGATGGCGGAAATCTCGAGGACGAAGGAATGAGCTTTTTTGCACGGTACAGAAGTGTCACAGTAGGAATATCAGCCAGAAGTAGGATTGAAGACATGACGTTAAAAAATCTAGTCGCGACTGGACCTGAAAATAAATTGAAGAGGAAGGTGTGTCCTGCTGGAAGCTCAAAGTGGGGATAGGCCAAGCTCCGTGCACGGGCCGCTCGAGGAGGCATGGTCACGCCGTTGTGTTTATATGAGTTGATGACTTTTACTAGAGATGAAGATGCAAGGGAGGTAGTTGGTATTTTGATGGAGAATGGCTTATATATATGTAATCTGCTTTGTAACAAACAACCTTGGTGGTACGGTGAAACCAGCGATGCATCAGTGCATCAAATTATATATATTCACACATACATAAGACCAAGCACAACATAAGAGGGAATAAGACTAAGATCAAATGTTTCCTTGTCATATTATTGGTAAAATCAATATGAAAATGTGTCCCTGCTCATGAGTCAAACACAATAGCCCTGACAAATAACAGCCTTACTATAACTAGAACCTGATTCGGTCTGATACAATACCCATCTCCATGTACTTGTACTTTCTATCCTGTACCTTGTACTTTGTACTCACTCCGCACGAGATAGTCAGGATCTGTTTCGAGTTATCCCGCTACAATGTACTCCATGCGGCAAGCTGCATTGCATTACCGCCTGCACCTAGCCTAAAGAGACGCTTCTGTGCCGCTCAAGCCTCGGGCCCAGGACTCCTATCATTGGCCCTATAAGATCCGAAACAGAAAAGGTACGGAGTAGGTCGACCCGAGAGCCAGGCCCAGGGAGTTGGCATCGTGGACAGCAGTGGAGGGGCCAGCAGGAAACGAATTGATTGGCGCCAGACTGCGGTGACACATGGATGCCATTTTCCCAGTGGATCAGGCCATCATGCCATACAACACAGATTATCGAAGTTTATGTGAAGTTTCTTCAGAGGTGGAACTCGAGCACGGAGGGTACTATGTATGTACTATTGACGCCCATAAAATAACGCCGAGTTGCTCAAAGGGAGAAGGAGTAGGCGCGTAAATCCATTGCCCACGCTGCCCAGACCGCCGGCGCCCTGACTGCGTTGGGGTTAGGTACAGGCCCCTTCACTCGGTATCGGGGATCAAATTACGGCGTTCATCGGGAATTATTGAAAGTGGAGGCGTGTTTTCTCTGGCCCACCTCTCCCCACCGTGAAGACCCTACCACACCCTGTCAGATCAACCGTGGACCGCCGTTTTCACGGCAGTTCCCCTTTCAACCGATATGACACGGATCTGCGGGGACCCAGCCCATGTGTTTTAGTGTATTCGACGATTCGCCGATCCTTGGGTTATGCTTGTCGATGGCATCTGTTTCCGCTGGGCCCGTTGCCACTAGTCGGCCAGTTATCTTCCCCTTGAAGAGACAAAAATAGCATTGAGATAGGTCATTGGCCCATTGGCAGGGAAATGTACGGGGAAAACATAAAACCGAAAATTTCTGGCCGGCTCCGCTTCCCAAATTGCCATCGTACGAGGGCCACTCAGGGCGAACCCGTTCTTTCTGTTGGCTTCCATTGGGAGATTTCCATAAAAGTACGGAGTACATGGGTGAACAAGGATCGGGTGGATACGTGAGATCAAAGCGGGAGGATTTCGTACTTTTGTCTTTGAAGAAACTGCCGGAGAAAAGATAAAAATACAACTTCGAGGAAGAAATGTGGCATTCTCAGGTTCATGCGAAATTCCAAGTTATCAAATTCCAAATGGCATTCTCTTCAGCGGAACGTCGGAACCGCGCAGCTGTCAGATTCAAAGCTCTCCAATCAGCGGAAGACTTCCTATTTGGCGTGTGGTAGCTCAGATTCAGAAAAACTCTATTGGAGATCACCAGCGGGATCCTATTCGTCCAAAGCGATATGTAACAGGGCTAGGCTTGTTCCTAATGCATACGTCAAAAGTCTTGGGTGCATATCCCACCTGTCAAGGCTCTAATGGGCCATACCTGCAGCTTGGGATGTGCATCTGGACTGGACCCTCGATTCGAGCTTTGAGTTTGGACTGGGACATGAATCTGATTGGCGCGGTTGTATCAACCCTCGCATTCGTATATATATATGTTACTATTGAAATCCCTGATGTTACAAGTCAGGAAGGTGAGAAGTTCATTTGCCACTTGTTTTGAAAAAGATCTACTACGGAGTACTAGTAATACTAGTTGCAAATATCAAGAATAATATCAAGAATAAATATGATAACCTGTTGCCAAGCAACCTCGTTGAAGCTTTGGTCCTAACATCCTTGCTAGTCCTCTGTGTGACAGCGACGGGGAAGGTATCCATTATGATCATCATCCAACCTGTCCAATAGAGAAGCGTTTTGAGCTTCACCGGCATGTGGCGCGAGTCCGTCACTCAATCAGGTCCGGATGGATTCCCGTGCATATGATTTATAACTGCATGTACAACCTTGTTTATAGTGCTTGATTGCCTTGTCTGTTGTACAATAGTCTTACAGCAATCATTCGTAGATACCTTTACAGAAGCACTCATACAAGTTGTGCCGTACCGATATATGGAAGACTCAAAGTGCCCGAGAGATCGCCGAAGGTCAACCATATAATGTATCGCGCCATCCTCTATCCGGTAGCTGGAATGAAATAAACCCAAAAGGCAAAGAAACGGCGATCTGCTTAAAATAGATATGCTTGATACCTCCCAACGGATGCACACTGCAACATTATCAAGCCCAGAAATGACAACCCCCCCCACACGGCAGCAAATCTCAAGACAAATCCAGCAACTGTGCTCCGTCTCGACCCGCAAAAAAAAAATCTAATTTCGCACACATTGGAGTACGTATATCATTGCAACCAGCACAGGCCCAACGGCAGATAACTCCCGAGCTCCGCACCAAAAAGGACTCCGTAAATATAATGAACACAATCTCGGATATTCCAGAAATGGAGCCCCATGGAAAGATGGAAACCTGGAGGGAATAATGTCGCTATCCACTCGGGATCCACCGGCGGATCTTAATTAATCCAAGCCGTTCTTCTCATTTCCTCGTGTGGCTGAGTATAGAGTAGCAGATGGAGTGCAATCTCCCCAATCTCTCAACCTAATCTCCGTTGGCCCTCGGCTCCGGCCTTAGGCTGAGGTGGGTTCGAGATTGAAGAAGGGTTTGTCAGGCATGCTGCTTAGCGGCTGCAATATCCATCGTAGATCGATGAATCGGGTCTGTTTTCCGTAGCAGAATGGGATCGTCGTGAAGACGCTATCAATATACCATTCACGTACTTTGCGTGCTGCTAGTCCGTTCCGATCTTTGCTCGGAGATTTCCCAGGCGATCATGGTTTCTTTCGGGATTTGTGGAGATGCTGGACCTGCCTTCCTATTTCAGGTGTAGATTGAAGTAAAAACGGCCACTAATCGTGTTAAGGAGAACCTTTAGCGTGAGCTAGCCCGTCTTAGGCTAGCTAGAGGAAAAAGAAAAAGAAAAAGAAAAGGCAAAAAGGAACTTCCAAGAGAAACCCGACAAGCCAAAACCCGAAATCCTTCCCGCCGATCGAAGCGGTCTATCTTATGGGCTTGGTGGAGTCTGGGAACGGTCCGGCTGGATTTCCCCGTTTTCCTTGGTGGTGGTGATTTCCCCTTTGTCACCGTGGAGATTCTAAATGTCGGTCTGTCGATTATAATCCACATGGGGAGAAGAAGGAGTAAATCCCTGAGCTGTTGCTTGGACAATTGAAACGTGCAGCTGTCGTTGAACCATAGAGGCCAGTGGGGATTCAAACCATACTCCGTATATGACTTAGGGGAATATCATCATAATCGTATGTTGATTCTATAGAGCGGGCCCTTACCAATAATTTGACCAAGCTAATAAGACATTCCCAACTTTAGGATATCTAGATCTAACACTTCGATGAGGAGTTCGGTCTAATCTGTAACCCAGTAAGACACACTAAGACATCTTGCATCTTGCAGGACATCACCTCCCGTCATATCGCCTATCCCTTTCCGGCCGTGTCAGAACCCTGCTAGTGTAGTCCCCAAACCAAGCCAGTCAACGTTGGTGCCGTTCCTTTGCCGTACGTGCAGATTGGCGTTGCAGATGTGTCCTGATTTCCAAGACCAAACCCCCCATCTTCCCCACCGCGCCGTCTCTCCTTGGTCAATCCCTGGACGGGATCGGACCCTCTCTTTCTTCTCCCTCCCCCCCCTGTCCTTGTCCTTTGGTCAACTTGCAGCTGTCAACTTACTCTTTCGAGTCTACTCCGTCCAGATCGGAGAGATCCCCGGGAACGTCCCCACCGGGCGAATTAAACAAATCTCCTGAGCCGCCACATTTCGGAGTCGCGGGTGATGGCATGATGTGTGACTGGGGCTATTACCGGAGATTTTACTATGTACGGCGGACGTGAACCGTGCTGGCCTTATAATATCCGAGGGGGATATGTCTTTTATTTTCGGGATTGAGATCACCTTATTGATTATTCTTGGCTAATTGATGAATCTGTAATCTTAGATTGGTTTCTCCATAATAGTCTTGGATCATAGATCAGATAGTTTGGGAGGTTACCCCCCTTTTATGGATGATATAGTTCGATAAGTTCAGGATGTCGGAGAAAAGGGATAGTCCTTCCTCGACGCGCACTAAAATTGGGATCGCATCCTAAACTCTTGCCAACTTGAGGAAAATGAGTTGTCGCTCATCTCCTTCCGGTTAGGAGTCTGGGATCGTCTGTTTATCGCGTGTTCTCCACAATTGGTCGGAAACATCATAGCGTGCTACAACATTCCTGGGATTGTTTTTGTCAGACTTGAGGAGGCCAGGAATGTTTGAACGGTCTGGAGTCTGGCTAACGGGCTGTCAACGGTCTGTCAACGGTGTCGATCAACTTACTACGATCATGGCTCCAGTTGTCTCCATTATCTCCAGTGGTCCCCGTTGTCTCCAGTTATTTTGTGAAGTATTTCTGCGAAGGCAATGATTTTCCTACTAGCGGTTGTATCGTAAAGTAAAAGTAAATAAGAGGAAGACGCGCTTGGCCAAGGATAATCTCGTAGAATCATCTCATTGGTTACTACAGATAAATTTCGGCGCATTTGCGGCCATCTCAAATACCTCCAGGCCAAACACGTGAAATTCTGAATATCTTCAATTCCGAAAGCAGAGATTTTCGTCTTCTCCACCAGCTAGCTCAATCGCAAAACCCGTGATATTCACAGTGGAACGCGACCCATAAAAAACCACCGTCACGGTGTCTGTAATCCATCCTGCACTCCCAGTTGCCGTAAAAAGGCAACCAGAAGAATAACTGACATAAAAAACTAGCTCTGTTTTCCCCCGTATTGAAAACAACCATTGCAGGAATTATACTTATGATTCATCATCATCATCATAGCGTCCTGCGACCGGGCTAGTGCGAGTGCGACCAGTTGCGATTCTGATAGTTCAGATCGAGACATCGCGGGGAAATTCGCCCCTGACGGTCGCCCCAGCCACACTTGGCTCGTCGTATGATGTACTTTTCTATATTACTATATCCAAATGTAACCGTCGCAGGATTTCAGCCTCAGATCTCTTGTGATCAGTCTCATCCTCAGATTCAGCATTGGGATTATTCTTGCGCCCCCGTTATCCTGCAGGTGGAGAATCCCCCCAATCGCAGCGCCAGATCCTTACTGCATTCATGCTCGGCAGGTGGAAGTGACCTACCGTGCATGCGCTAAATCTCCAGTGCGCACGGGATGCATCGCAGAGTGGCTGAAATCGTAAGATCCGGCTGGTGCATTGGGCTCTGGAAATGCAGCGACTACTGGGTAACTAACTAACTAGATCGATTCGCGATGATTTGGGACCCGTCAACAAGTCCATTGTGCGATTAGATTAGCGATTATGCGAGTACGCTACTACATTCATTCTTAAACACCGAGGTGCATGAGCTGAGCTGAGCTGAGCCCTGTTCTGACTCAATATATATTGGGGAATATTAGACCGGGCTTTGCTCTTGCTTATGTATGGAAAAGATATCATATATTATTCCTTCAGGCGTCCTCCGTCGATCAACCGCATTGATATTCCGAAGATCTCAGGCGATTGCCTTTCACCCGTTTTGGATCAACATTTAGACCTTGGGCCGACCGTTGGCCCATACGATGTATATCGTACATCATTATGGGTCCCCAGTCTGTGCGCTGTGCGATCACGGAGGCGAATCGGGCTATAACAGTTGTACTTGCCACCGCTGGGGACTGGGACTGATAAACTAGAGAATAGAGAATTTTGATTTGTAGTACTCCGTACCTCCGTAGCCAAGACAAGATTCGTCCACATGCCAGCGCGTGAAGGGCGAATATGACATCCAACGGGGTGGGGCTGTGGCCAACAAACTCAAAGCTCCAGAAAATTGGTTTCCTAACGAGCTTTGATCCTTCGGTGCTTTTGCGAGCTGCACGGAATAGTTAGTTGGTCATGGAGTCAATCGGTGGAATTAGTCATTGGAAGCCCAGAAGTTCCAAACCACTATAGGAAAGCGCTAGGCACTATCGGAGCGGGGTTTGATGCGGGACTTTGCTAGGGTTGTTTTTACTTGCGTATCTGATTCTCACTTTCAAGCGTCCTATAGTTACTATGTTGTAATCAGCTCTACTGTAAATGTCAGGATCTTAAACTGAGATGGAGTGCCCACGCGATCTCGCCAATGAACGTCCCGTGTTCGATCTCGATCTAAAGCTTAAGCAACATGTGTTGCAATACCCTGCGATCCGATCCTTTTGGCGGGTACTCAAGGGGGTAGCGTGTAAGACGGACGAATGAGGTGGTGATTAATTGGGTTTTGTTTTTCGATTGCTTTCGGCGGCGTTTTTTGCTTTTTGTTTTGTGATTTCACCTGCGCCCGATCTTGGCTGGGGACGTTGTGGCTCGGTGACGTGGTATTTGGATACTTAAGGATTGCATATGAACTACAACATATATATTATAGTATATTCCAAGTTATAGTTAGATAGTACGGAGTATGTTAAATAGAACAGGAATGAAACCAAATACTAAATAAATAAACAAATCGATAAAATAATTTAAACTCGAGTGAACCATGGAACGTTGTCATCCGGACCACGTCGGGCACTTTCAGATCGGACTGTGTAACCTCAGCCACGTCTCTGATTCCCCCAGTTGCGATGGAAATAGCTGTGTCTCCATTCCAGAGATCTTGATTATCCTTGTGATCCTTGTGTTCCTTGGCACTTGGGTTGCAGTCTGTATTCTATACAGTAAGTGAATGGATCTAACCATTACTATGTTAATAGTAGATCTGACATCATATCCTTCACTTATAACCTCCCCAGGACTTTAGCTCATAGCCCGAGGCTGACATTTACCCACTTGCATCGGAGATCTCTCTCATGTGACACGGATGCATATCCTCGTCGAGCGATCTTGAAATGACTCGATGATTGCCCTGCGCTATTTGTTATTTAATATAATAATAGATTGATTCCAGAATACAGATTCCAGAATACTGGAACTATCGTCCGCTAGCTTCTTTTCCTGATGGACCACTCTGCCGGTATTCAGCCGTCCCTTAGCACGTTGAGAATCGGCCGTTTATCTCGATCGATCCTAGGTTCCGGGGTAGGCTAATTTGAATTATTTAATGTAATTTAGTTCATTTTCCAGTTCATTTGATTACCTTTGGGTCAACAACATACAACATCAACATAGTAGTAAGTTACATATGTATAGAACATTACCAGATGAGTTCCTGACACATTAAGGAAGTATGTAATGATATTGTACACTAGAATATTGCACCGCCTCTATCCACAGCTCTACCCACAGAGAACTAAAGCCCTAAGATCCCGATGATCCGCAGTCGGTAATTTGCCTTGTAAAACCAGGTTCTGACGATCTGGCAATTTCCCAGGGTAATTTTCCCCCTGTTCGGATCTCGATCTTTTTTTTTTTTATTTATTTTGCCAAAGTTTCTTTTTTAATCTTTTTCTCTTTTGGGCTTTCTTTTCTTTCCTTTAATCTTTTATAGAATTCAAAATCAAAAATCAATTTAACTTCCTGTACTCCGTACTCCTCTCTAAGCTTCCCGTTTCCAATCTAAAGCCCGAAATGAAGTAGCCTCGATCCCCTTTGATTCTGCGCCTTTCCCCTCTCTACGGTGTGTTCTTTTATATTTGTCCCCATTCCACCTCGTGCTTTCATATTTGGATGGACATTCTCATTTTCCACGCTTTATATCCCTTGCATGTGCGATCGGGTTCTTTTTTCTTTTCTTTTTGCATTTCAAGGTAGCTTTGTGATCTTGGATTCCTATCTCTTCTCTTGATTTCCCAAGCTTCATTGATTTGAAAAAAAAAGAAGGGAAAGGAAAAAAAGGAAAAAGAAGAAAAGAAGAAAAGAAGTTAATTACGGTTAACTCGTCGGGTTACTCGGGCTCCATCTAAACGCCACTTTCCAACACTCGCCCCGGGATCTTTGGATTGGATCTTGGATCTGGGCCTCTCTTTTTCTTCGGCACGAACAGGTGGAACGCTTTTCCTGTCGCACCAGAGGCGACCTCCGACTTTGCATTTGCATTCCTTCTTCTTACATCCCAGACCTGTCGCATCAACATTCTCTCCTCTCAACGTGATGGGGTCTTTGGAAGCCGCATCTAGGCACAGGTTGGTCTTGCGACCTCGCAGTCGGTCTCCCATTGCTCACCTTCGTCACAGAGACCCTTTGCCGGCGATGAGTTTCCTAGGGAAAGACGGATCGGGATACACCTCCAGACACCCTTCGAGCGCCACCGCTTCTCCGACTCTGATGAGTCCCAACGTCATGTACGGCCAATCCCTGCCGTACGCCTACGCGAACGCACCGCCGGGGTACATCTCGTCGCCCGAGGCCCGTCGCGCCCTCGAAGACGAGAAGGAAAAACGCACCTCAAGACAGTCCCTCCCATCCATCCACGAGGCCCTCGGCAACGACCCTCTCCCATACCCAGCAGCTACCTCCGCCCCGCCACCGCAATCCTCACACCCTACGCCGCCGCCACATCTCATCGGACGACCGAGCGCAGAGGGACCAGCGGGTCCGCCCAATCCGTTTTCGAATGGCCCGCCGACGGGTTCGCTCATGCGGGAACCCGCGTACCATCAGCAGCTGCAGGATGCATCGCGCTCCAGTCTCGCCTCCATCAACACACAGGATTCGCGCACCTCACTAAACTCCCTCAGCACGGGAAAATCCCCGACCCAGAGCGCCAAAACGGGAATCACCTCGGTGGGATCGCAAAATTCGTCCGGGTATGAGTACAGTGCGCCAACCTCCGCCGGTAGCGTGGCGTCGCCGAATGGGTATGGCCATTTCCCTCCGAACTACTCTTTTCAACCGCAGTCCGGCCACTCGTATCCTCCGGCGCCGGGTCCGTACGATAACCGGGCCTACATGGGTGCGCCGCGGGTGGAAGAAGTCAAGGGTGGATTTGTGAGTCGACTAGCTCCGCACAACGAGTCTAAGCGGCATTTGGACGTCTATGATGTGGAGACGTCTTTGAATGAGGTATGGATTCGCCCTCGAGTCTTATTTTGAACCGATGGACAAAATTAAGAATGACTTGTTAAATGAATTACCTACTGACTGAAATAGCTCGCCGACTTGAGTACGCGAACCCTCGACTTTTCACGGCACTACGCGTCTCGCGCACATCAAACGCAGCGTTCCGGCCCGCTGTTAGGCTCCCTCTCCCTCGCTCAACGAAGTGGAGGACATGCTTCACATGCAACGGCGGAACCAAGATGCCCTGATTCGGATACGCACCGCCGTGGTGAACCAGGAGCAAGCTCTGGCTGAACAGATGGCGCAGCGCAAGGCGTTCAAGACCGAAGACGACCATATGGCGATGTACCAGGAAGACTTCAAAGGCACGGGTGGTTTCGCAGGCGCAGACCCAAAGAAACGGCGCGGAGTAAGTCTAGACTTTCCCCTGTATTGACATCTCGACACTTTTCTAACCCGTTTGCAGAAAGCCGCGCCTCCTGGTCGTTGCCACAGCTGCAACCGAGCCGAAACGCCAGAATGGCGTCGGGGTCCAGATGGTGCCCGGACGTTGTGTAACGCATGCGGCCTACATTACGCCAAATTGACTCGCAAGATGGGCGCTCACAAAGCCGCGAGCCTGGGTTCGAATCTGAAGCCCAAGTCGGTCCTCGACTCCTCCTCGCCAACCAGTCATTAGCTCCTCAGCTTCTCAGTCAGCTTCTCAGTCAGCTTCTCAGTCATTCAGCTTCTTTTTTTGGCGTTGAAAAAGGTGGGAAATAGAAGGCAACGGAGTTCAGTGGCCATTTTTTTTTTCTTTTGGGAGGTTTAACGTCTTCCCTTTGTGATCTTTTCTTATATTTCTTTTGTCTTTTTGGGACTCTTTCCCTACTCGGTGTTCTTATAATACCCCAACAGCTTCCAAGGTTCTGGGAGAAAAACGGCTTTAGCATAGATATCCCCCTTTGATGATTCAATAGCCATCGGCCTGGTCTGAAACTGGTTTCTTTTTTGATTCTTTTTTGATGTTCTGTTTTGTTTTGTTCTGTTCTGCTCTGTTCTTACCTCCATGTTCCCCTCTATCTCTCAATACCCTGCATTTTTTGGTTCTTTCCACTTCTGTTCGAGTATGTCCCTGATATGATATGTGTACGATCGTGTCTCATTCAGCGTTACATCTATTTTATGTTCTGGTCGATATTTTCGACGTTCAAGGTTTATGACACTTTTTTCTTCTGTGGTGGATATGGATATCCCTGGAATTGGTTCGGGATGGCAATACTAATTGAATATCATCAAAATCTCAACTTTGAATTTGTACTACAGATCTTTACTTGATTAATCTGATTTACACCTAACTTTATGGCATGATCTCTTTTCTTTGGGTTGCCCCCATTTCTAATAACCGTAGACATACCAATATGGCATGATCCTCCCTGATTCGCTACCCTATATATTGAACGTGCAGATTAGGCTAATATATGCGATATCAAAATTAGATTGTAATTTAATTTCGCGGGTTCCAGAAAGACCTCCATATATGGAGACAACGAACTAGTTATCATCCCAGCTGATCGTCTAAATTTTCCACATCCAATTTCCCCAATAAAAAGACCAGCTACTCACCAGATCGTCTCAGCTGAGAACTAAGTTTCCGCCGATTGAACTAGCGGGGGGTCGGCGTGCGGTCATTCGCTGCAAGGTATTCGTGTTCAGATAATCAGATCCGATCTCCATTGGGATCGGGATCGGGCATGAGATCTCGAATTAAATTTAGATTCAAATTAGATTACGTCCTGGGTATGGCCAATACATTCTTTGGATTGGATATAAGTCATTACAATATAACTTGCATCTATCTTAGTATGTTGTAGGTGGCCTTATTACAGACCGCCACATTCTTCCGCATGTAAGGAATAATAAGTCCGGTGGATCACAACAAAAACCGCGTCTCGAGATTTGTCATTAAGGTGAGATCCATTTGACAGCTTAGTTCGTGAGTCCAGTCCACATAACGAACCCGACATTTGGAAGTTGAGTGTTGGCCATTCCGGTGGTCTGGAGAGTTTGCATAGTCTGCGGGCTGGACGTAGCTAAGCCCACTTAGGAAGTAGCAACGTACTTTTATCTTTTCTTCGGCTTTGACTTTCAGTTGATGACAATTAATAAAAGTGTTCTTTGTTTGTTTCTTTTGTTTACTTTGGACGGAACATGGAACATCGTTTACCCCGGGAATCCAATAATCCGATCATCATAATCAGCTAGCAGGGTTGGCATCGATCGAGATCGATCCCAGATCAAGATCCCACGTTCATCTATCCCGGTGGGGATCTATGCGATCAGCCGTACCCTATACAAACGTCGGTTGTCTAATTTTGCTGACTATGTATGTTGTATATACCTCTGTCTACGGATTTATATTTCCACGGCGCACAGCCAATCTGGGAAAGAGCCCTCGAATGCAGATTCCGTTTTGGGACACGCTGATTCATCCGATTCGTTCCCCCCCAACTAGGTGGACACCGGCCGCTCTTCAGGTTACATACTCCGTAACCTACTGGAACAATATGGCATGATACGATACTCCTTGCGGGATTGGATTGGATTGGATTCGAAAACAGATTTTTCCTAGTAAATTTCTTTGTCTGGATTCTCCCGAAACACGGCCGAGATCCACCGAGAGCCGCTTATCCCCACGATGGATTAGTTATCTCACTACTAGTTATGTAACTAAGTAAGTATTCAATCTACGGACTTGGTAACTATGGTAAAGGGGTAGTTAGTGGCACCACAACTTTCCTGTGGCGCAGCAGACCCTACGGTTCTCCGTGAAAATCTCCATCTCGTACCGGAGGATCATAAGAAAGAAAAAAGGACTAGCGAACTTTCTCGTGTATCCATCCACCGCGCATGGACAACACAGCACGGGAATACATTCGGCAGTGCGAAAGGCGAAAAGCGGAAAGTGGAAAGTCGGTCCGTATCCAACATACGTATAGGAGTACGGACTACGGAGTACACGCGGAGTACATCCGGAGAAGGAATATCTCCACGAGTTAATAATAATTTGTGGACGTGCTACACCACGCAGTATCCAGTCATGTACAATATACAACATACGTACCTATTAAAAATATGTATGACGCTGCTGATCGTCCCTAGCAGCCTATAAGCCATAAGCCTTGGATCTGGCTGAGAAACTCTACAACATACTTACTGAGATCGTCGACGTATACTCCGTATTGTAGATCGCATATATGAGAATATTTTACAGAATACTTTACTGCGAACTGAGAACAACGTCCGCTGTGGGGACGACGGTTCCTCCCTGCTGTCAGAACTCTGTTTGAAATAAATGTCGGTGTATTCCTGGAGGGCCCACGCGACCTCAGGTTTTGTCAGCTGAAGCGCGCGGTGGCACGCCGTAGATCGGTATTTGAATGCTCTCGGGCCTCTGGCGCCAGGCCTGGTTGGGCGTAGTCGGGTGGAGCGTAAGGTTCTTCTTCTTTGGGTCTTCTTTCTTCTTCGGTCTTGCTTTTGCTGCTTGTGGTATATCGTGGGTTATTGCGGTGGTACAGTATAGAGAAGTATCGGACTTCGCCGTGGAGATGGAATAGTTAACGGACTTGCATTAGGATCTGTACGTGTACGAGTATAATTGATTATTCTGCATTATTGTTGGTCTAAAAAATAAAAGATGCACACATTACAGTACCAACTGCAGCGGATCTATCCGACACGCAAGTTCAAGTTCAACGCCCTACGTACTACGTCTATTGTATATTGTCTATGTATGTTGTAGTTAGGTGTGTTCTATATCAGTGAAGAATAATATCATGATCTTCTTCACCAAACCAAAACCTAAATATCCGCAGATCAACTGACCGCTCCCCTGATTCGCTGGAGCCCAACCCCGGGCCAAATCCCTTCGTTTTCGTTTACCTTTGGATTCCCCAACCGGTCGTTCCCGGGTGCGAACTGGATCTCGCGGCTGACTCCATCTTGACATCGGTGCTGAAAGGTGGGCTGACCTATTGAAACCGAGTGATCTGGCTGGGACCAATAGTAGGCGATCGTGGGGCGATGGGTGGAGACGCATCGAATTCCCGGCCGGTTGGATCCGACTATTGGTTCCAGTCTTGGCTTAGGGGCTTTGGTTGCTGATCTGTATTTGTGTATGTGTAATACGGAGGATACATACGTACAATACTTTGTAGACAGGGGGGATATATCTATATCAGTATACAACATACTGCAATGTAAGGCGTTGTAAGGTGTTAGGTGCGCAAGTCTCAATAATAAATCTGCATACATTTCGAGATCGAACTGTATCTGTATCTCTATCTGCCCGAAACCCCGGATCGAGCGAGATCTTCCAGATGGCTTGCAGGAAGATGCATACCTATGTTGTACACTCCTTGGAAAAGGAGGCAACCATCCTAAAAAAGCTAGCCCTGCATGAAAGTTTCAAATCGTAGAATTTCAGCCCCGCCCCGATCTTGCTGATGCAGACCCCGGGTGCAGGAGATCCTTACTCAATGCAGCATCTCCCGCTGCGATCTGAGATTGGCTCTGGCTCCCAGGCCGGCGCTGGGGTTGTGGCGGTGAGCTTGGGAATGTAGGTACATGCTATGTATTCCAATTTCCGTAGAACCGGTACCCATAGTTAGTTAAACAGAGGCTGGCTGGTATCGTATCGGCATGTGAGATCCTATATCCATGGATAGCTGGAGTGGATTTATAATTCTAAGCTCGGCCACGTCACGGGTCAGATGTCTGGTCTATTCTGAGATGTCTGTTCTCCTGTCCGTAACTGGTAACTAGTTCACGTAGTTCGGTAGTTAGTTAGTTAGTTGAATAGCTGCAGTGGAGACATTAGTTCATCCAACTTGGACTTGCTTTGGGATCCGCGCGATAGGCGTCTATAGTGCGTATCCAATATAGGTAGCTGTAAAGGGATGCTTAGCGACCCACTATATCAAGTCCTAGTATCTACAACTTATGACTCTTGATTTTCAGGATGGACATGTATCGTGGGTCTGAAAAAGCAAAAATGCATTATTGGATCTTCCGGACGATCCGGGAGATGCAACCATGGTTCGGGATACGAGTTGACTGCAAATCGTGTCTAGTGAGCCGTGGAATTGGATCGCGATGTCGATCTACAGCTCTAGTGAGCCTAACGGGGCGTCTATAGATTACACGCGGCCTCGGATAGACTAGAGCTGAGACTGTTGACGCACTCTTTTTTCGGCTATGAGATATATGTTGTAGATTGTCTGTCTTAACTTTGGATATTGAACAGGAAGTACTCCGTATATACATACTAGTACTAGTACATATTTATTTGTGTTTGGCATAATTTGGATCCGATCCACTCGGCACCTGAGCAGTGATGCAATACCCGCGTGTTGAGTGGATATGAAAAGAGAAAACCATGGTTCAACGACTTTAATAATTCGGCCCTGACCCCCGGATCCGATTCGACCTCGGGATTCATTTGTAAGCCCAATCTAGGCCATCTGCAATTTCTTCTATAATCACAGTGTAACCCCCCTCTACCGCCAGAAAGCCCGCGCAACCGAGTTGATATAATCAATCCCGTCTTTGCGCCATGTATCCGCCTCCATATGACTGGTCTTATTAGCATCGAGACAGAGATCAACAGGTCCGTCCCTAGAATAAGAATCCCAGTACACAGCGGGTTTCACAACGCCCTGGTTCGGGTTTGGATCGAGGTCGCGGATGAAAGACGCCCACATGCCCGCCATTGCAGAGCTGAGGTCGATGTACGACTGCGGCACCCCGGCAAACGGTTTGCCGTAGTGATACCCCAGTCCGGCAATGTTGTGGAACACAAACGCTACCTCCTCGAAATGGGTCACGCCTGAAAGGAGTGGCGTGTCTGCTGAGTGCACGTTAAACCGGTAGCAGTATGCGGGCGTTGATGTCTCCGCCCATGCTTCGCATTGGCGTCGACGGTTGGCGTGCATGAACCAGTCGCCGGCGAAGGCCGAGGTGCGTCGCCATTCGTACCCTTTGGAGGGTACGCGCTGGTCGCCTAGGTATGCGGGAATGCCTTGCGAGGGGTCGTCGGGGTAGAGGTCGAGGATGCGCTTGGCTACGGAGGGGGTGTTTGGAAGTTCAATCCGCCGTCTGGAGGGTTAGCTGCTGTGGCAGTGTAGAAGATTTGGTTAGGTACCTGTTAAGTATTGATACCATTGCTCTGTGGTGTTAATCCCCGTAGGTCCGAATGCTGTTCCTTCGTCCGTATTGGTGCCGGCAATGATAGGGACTTTCACGAATGCATGCTTGTTTAGTTGAATGCTACCCCATGTCTGAATCAAGTCCCCGTCCACAACGGGCCAGAAATTGTAGTCAGAGTTGCCCCCCGTGCCGTTGAGAACAGCGTTGAGTCTCTCGAATGGTACTTCACGAAGACACTGCAGTGAATCCACGACGTCGAGGCAGCCCACCTTGGAGGCCAATGTGTTGTAGTTCGATTGGAACGTCGTGTAATTTCCCGGATTCGCGGATATCGATCCCCCAGACTGCATGATGCCAGCCCGGAATAGCTTGTCGTCTCGTCCGTTGTATGCTGTAAGATGGTATCCCACTGACATGGCACCTGCCGACTCGCCCCATATGGTGACTTTCGTGGGGTCGCCGCCAAAGGCGCCGATGTTTTCCTGGATCCATTGAAGCGCCAGCCTCTGATCTCGCAATCCGAGATTGGTGTTTCCGCTGCCGGAAACTTGACTGGAGCTTATAAAGCCCCATGCGGACAGTCTATAGTTCAGCGTGACGGCGATGAACGGTTTGCCTGAATCGTGGTTAGACCAGGCTTCAAGTATCCAAGAGAGAGGGAGATACCAATTTGATACGACTTTTCCACAATTGCAGACATATTGTAACGCTCATCAGCGCCAGATCCTTCATAAAATCCACCGCCATGAATCCACACCCCAACAGGGAGTTTCGACTCTGTGTTGACAGATGAACTCCGGATTACGTTCAGAGTAAGACATGCTTCTGACTGAGGGTACCAAATCGAGTCCGTCTATTTCCTATTGGTAAGAATCAACTTTGGAAAGCAACCGAAAGAATCATACTCACACCATATCCAACACAAATATCCGAATACTGTGTCGCATCGCGTGTACCATCCCAGCTGGCATTTAACGACTGCGGCACCGTAAAGCGCAAATCCCCCACCGGCTGCTGGGCATACGGTATACCCAGGAAGAAGTCCTGGTTGTAGGTTGAGCTTCGCACTCCAGCATACGTTCCATTGCGCACTGCCACTGTGGGAGATGATTTTTTAGGGACAGCATGGACTACTGTCCATAGTAGAAAGGCGGCTGCAAATCCAATCATGATGATATAAATGGACACGCCCTTGCCCGCTCTAGCCCTCCCAATGTGTGGCATTTCATGTTTCATTTATATACTCCGGGGTATACATAGGATCATTACTGGAAGGTCTGAAGACGTTAGTGATGCGGGGAAGCCCCACAATCACCTGAATCGTCTATGATCAACAGCCGGGAGATGTGGACGGCTGATATTTGCTCTGGTCGTAGCAAGACAAGATACATAGCAGGTTGGAATGATGGGCCGTTGGAGTAGGATCTGCATTATGGGGAAGTGGAGAGGGAGAGGTGGGATGCTCTAAGCCTATTCATCCACCAATACACCTTCAGGATGTTCTGGGGTATTTGGCTTCATGGCCAGTTTCTCAAAAGTTTGACGGACGATTGCCTGCTTTCATAGGCCATGCTGATCAGTCCGATGATTAACCGAAGCTTTTGCGCTGGCCGAGGTAAGTGAGTAAAGATCTCAAGGATACCTTTGCACTCGGCCCGGGGATTTGCATAGGAAAAGGAGATAAATTGACCCGTAGCTAGAGTCACCACATACCCCTGATAGTAGCACGAACACCAAATTCAACCAAAAGCGGACGTAAACATTGTAAGATGAAACCCGGACCAAGCACCAAAGTCGATGTGTGACACGAAGCACTTATCCTTGTATGACAGCAAGATCGCAGGGTTCCTGAAATCCGTGAAATTGAACAAAGTTAGACAAAGTGTAACATACCGAAACAACAGACCGACACTGTAACGGTAACAGCTGTGGCCTAAATAATAGTGGTATCCATATGTAGGTACACGTATTATCGAGATGTTTGCTCCTGGAAACCGAAGATAGAAAATATAACAAGACGACCTCCTATTATAACGATGTTGACGCTTTCTCCCATCTAAATCATGCCATCAATGTGCTGGTCATTACCGAACCGCTCTCGCACCGGGGCAGCAATCCAACTACAATCCGAGGAAACAGCCGCCATTATCGCCGTCACGCAAGGTTTCCTCGCAGCACTGAGCAGCAAGTCGCGCACCGATTTCGAGAAACACTGCGTCCGAGCAGGAGGGATGACACTCTCGCCTCCGTCTCCGACTTCTCTGCGTTTTTGTACGATTGGTTCGTTCGTTGAACATGTCGCTGGGCTCAAAGACGATATCGATGAGCGCATCTGGGATCCTGAGGTGAAGGTGCACGAGACAGGAAGCCTGAACCTGGCCGCTGTGTGGGCACCATTCCGGGCGAAGATCAACGGCGTGGTGGATCATGTTGGTGTTGAGCTTTTTGTTTTGCATAAACTCAACGGCGAATGGAAGGTGACTGGGCTGGCGGACTCGTGTCGGTTGCCGACCGAGGAGGAAATGCGGCTGGAATGAGTACTGTTGGAGACACTGGGAAATGAGAAATTAAGATTCATCAGACGCTGTGACAAGGAGGCTGTCCCCGATTGTCATGAATATATGCAAATTGTTCAAGTTTCCGCCATACATGCTCACACTCTGGATATCTATTTGTGGGGGTATGTAGATGCTCTAGTCTAGACCTTTTTGCCTCGAAGAAGTTCCCATCCGACTGATCCGTTTTTGCCTTCTTTGGCAGTCATCTCCTCAACCGCCTTCACTAGATCGTAGGTGATCTCCTCGGACACAACACTGTCGTGCTTGTAGCTAGGATGCTTAGCTACAAACTCACGCATCCAACGAGCCCCAGTCCAAAGAGTGCCATTCGCCCGCTTCCGGATCAAATCCAGATAGCTGGCCAGGAAACATCTTGTCTCGACGTCAACATTCACGCTGTTGAGGTAGGACTCCACAAGCGGGATGAGGCCCGGGAATGATCCATCTGTGCATCCATTTACGATGTCATCGATGGTCATGAGATCAAACTCTGTCTCAACAGGGCCAAGAGGAGGCGATGGAGGCGGAGTGTTAATAGCCGACGATGTCGTAGATGAGAAGGTGCTGCCGTTCGCCGAGTGCTGTGCGCTTCTGGGCACCCTGCGAGGGAAGGGATCCTTGCGGAACCAGAACTTCCGATCAAGAACAGCATTGCGAGCGTGCGCCGTCTCCATATTCTCTGTAGTACGCTGGATCGGGATGTAGAAGTTGAGATCGAAGCTCAGGATGGCACGAGTGATGAGCACGATGAAAATGCTAAATGCGGCGTTTTCGAAATCTGTGATTTGGATCTCCATGGACCGGAACTCGACTCTCCAGCCGATATCATCCTTATCAGGTGGCGGCGGCTTGAAACGCATGTGCTGCCAATTAGTAGACTGTAAATTCTCAAAGTGGTCACTCTTGTTAAGATCCAGTTCTTCAAGATCCTCAGAGAAAATGACCAAGGGATCACGGATAAACAAGTGTGCAAAATGCGTCGCGAGTAGATCATCCATTCCCCCGTCCATAAGGCGCTTCTTAATATCCTCATCAACAACTAGATCAGGATCGAAATATTCTTTCCGGAGACGAGGATCCTGGGATATGTAAGTCGAATTAGAGGCATATCGCGACTTGGGAATTCTCCACCGGTCGTTCTTGAGAGGCTGCGAGAGGTCAGTTCTGAGCTAAGGGTATCATTCTGGAAAACTTACAGCTTCGCCAAGTTCTTCGGGCGTCCTATCATCGACTGCATTGCCAATTTGGTTCCATCGTACATCTGTGTCCACTAGGAAACCCTTATAGATGGGTGTAGCGGCGGTCAGGGCTAGAAGAATAGGCCCCAAAGGACTCAGTTGATCATAAAGTCTTCTGCCCTCTGTCATATTCTTTGCCTGGAAGGTGATCTGCAAGCAACAGCTGCCCATTCCAAATGCCATGGCGTCCATGTAGACATGGTCATCTTTGGCTGCGCCGTTGCGGACGTCATCATCCTCGGGCCAATTATGAAGGTCGTAGTTAACTGTTGGATCCTTGAATGGCCTGGGCGTATTTGCGTCATGGAAAACCGGTACATTCAGTTCAACCTTGCGACCTCTTCGGGATCGAATGTTGGCAGCCAGAGTAGGGAATCGAATATGGGGATTGGCAATCTCATCAGGAACAAACTGCGAGCGAAGAGCTGGCCCAGATGGGGGATAATATGGCTGGATGTAGTCATCATTGGTTCCTAGCCGAGGGAAAGTTGTGAGGGTGATGGGGACTTCATTCGGAGCCATGTGTGCTTTCGCAACTTCTCGTCTTGGGGTCTATTAGCATGTTTCAGGTCAAGTTGTATTGCTAAAGAGCTCACCTCCACTTCATATTGGACTCCACCTTGAGGAGGTCTTTAAACCCGATTCCCCAAGGCTGTCCAGGAGTAGCCTCCAACATGAACCTTCCAAATTCGGGGTGGAAATGAGGCGGCTCCTCTCCTTCACTGGTTGGTGTCAGACATGCTAGTTCCTGTTGGACATCAATCACACTCACTGGTCTCCAGTTGCACTGCGCTTGCCGGAGCCAGACTTCCACAACTCCTCGTCTCTTGCAAGTGATATCAGGATCTCAGCCTGGGCTAGAGATAGCCGTGCCTTCTTCGCCGCGTCGTCCAGAGCTACCACGAGGTATTCAATCTATCATAGAGGGCATGGATTAGCGATTGCGACCGGGAAATACGCGGGCCAGAACAACATACCTCGTCGCCCCACAGAAGAGCATCGCGTTCTTTGCCTCGTGCCCTGCGCCAATTGGCAAGTAATTGCTAATCAAGTCAGACACCTTGAGGTTGTTTCATTGCGACCTAGACGAATCGAACACAAGCGGCATACCTCGATACCCCACTGGCGTACTTGGCCCGCCTTTTTCTTGGCTTCCGGCCATTCCAGCGCTGTTCCAAGTGCTCTGCTTTATATTAGAGGGATCCCAAATAGCAAATCAAGCATCTCAAGACACATACAGAAGTCCCATTGTGTCGAGACGTAGTTCTCAAGCTGGCAACAGCACAAGTATAGGATAAAAGAATCAAGACAATCCCAGAGTGAACAGGAGAGCCGAAGATTGAAGGACCGAGAGTAATCAAAGAGACATAGACCTGCGCATAGTCCCCTTTCTAATTGATTCGCTGTAATTCCTGGCAAGTCGCAATGAGGGGGTCAAGTTTTCGGCCGATTTTCTAGCGGGGGCGGCGATAACGGCGGGAGTTTTATTTCCACCTGCCAAATCTTCGACTTGTATTATTAATCATGATTTGTCACGGTGAAGCTCTAGAGACTTCCAAGGTTGTCCTATCAAGGTCCTCACCTGATTCAATTTGGGAGATATTGAACATGGAGTGTCCTGGTATAGAGAGCTTGGAGATGGTGAGATAGAAATGGTGAGATAAGACCCTGCACTTGCGTCTTCGAGGATCACCATAAGGCGTCTATTATAGGCATAAGCGTTGTATACAAAGGGAATGAAAATAGATCCAGATATGATAGCCAGTAGTTAATACCAAGATAGACTTGAATGATGTTCGATACCCACATTCAGCTAAACTGTGGGGATGCTATTACCTATAGGATAGGTAGAAGTCAATGCCAAATATGACATAGAACATGGCACAAGTAGTATAAGGGAAATTGATTGATATGATTCAATGACTAGTACCGCATGAAAGCTGCATGAAAGCTGCAAGAAAGCAAGTGTCAAATAAGCAGGTATCACATTATAATGCGATGTTATATGAGATATTCATATGAGAGAAATCATCTGGGTGGCTCTTCATCAAGAGCTATATACGAAAGACTGTAGTTTTTGGTCTTATTCAACGTAACCAGCTATTTCAATTATCATATTTCATACCTACTACAATTAGCATAATATCGTGCAACCAATCGGCCGCAATACAGCCAATAGAACTTGCGGCTTAAGCTTATAAAGCCGCAAACGGTCATTGGACGCAGGACTAGATGGGGTTAATTAGACAACATGCGATGATCATAGCCCAAGATAGCTCAAGATGTTTAATATAGGGCGAGATCTATAGAATACATAGGTAAACATCCTAAATGAGCTTACAGGCTTTACATCAGTAGGTCGTAACAGCCTTGGAAGGCATAATTGCCTAGAGTAAAGCAGTGCGGCTAATTTCACCAAAAGAACTATAAAATCCTAGCGTCTTGATCACCGAGGAACTCCAATGAATTGATTATTCAAAGCCCCTAGAGTCCCCTAGAGTTATAGCCCACCATGCCCACCATGCCATCTGCTTACATGGGCTCGAGCTATGCCAAAAGACGAGTTGTCCATAGACACTGCTTGGCCCAAGAAAAAGGCCGACCCGAGAGGCATGGGTACCAACCTAGCCAATATTAAACAGAGCATCAAGTTGCCGATGCAATTGTTGTTCAGATAGGCGAAGAAAAGGTGGCCGATTTTGATGAAAGGTCCCAACGCCAAAAGGCAATCCATAAGCAGTTTCGGTGTATCTATTATTTACATATCCTGCTGCTTTAACAGCAGCACCGACTGCGCATACCAACAGTCCCACAATTCAGTTTCTCCGGGTGTAGTCCTTAGCGGCACGCAGCTCGTCCATTTTGGCCACGCGCTTCTTGAACTCTTCGTACTGGCATTTCTCATATGAGTGTCGTTCATCCTAAAAGAAAGAAAAGAATAACATTAGCTGACTAGCTCTGGAAGCGCTCTGGTCGAATCGCGTTGTGTAGGAACATCAAAACGAGGGATCTCGTACCTCGCACTTCCAGGGAAGGTAGTACTCTGCTTGCCGGCATCGGTTCAACGGGATCAGCAGGTGTGCGCATGAATCTCTGTACTGCATGGGAAGACGGGCTTCCGACATTTCCTGGCGGGTTGCTGGAATTTGGTTAACCTTCCTGCTAGAGCTTATGATTGTTGATCAATGGCCTTAGAATCATACCGGATGTCTCCGAAAGGCCAACGGCGCTCTTAACCGTTTCAATGACAGTCATTTTGTCGAGAATTAAGGGGTGGAGAGGCAAGGAGCGGGGAAACAGAGGCAGAACGGCGTGGTTGGCGATTCCCGTTCGTCTGAGGTTCCTGCTGGGCCGATATTGGTCACATGACACAAAATCACATGACAGACAGTCTTCCGAAACAGGACTAGTGCGCACTTTACGCGTCCAGCGCGTATCTGATGCCCCCAGCTCCACCGAATTGTATCTCTGTGTTCTTAGTCCGGATTTTCATTGCATGCAATGCATCTAGTTCTGAAGAATTCTTAAACCGATCAACTTGTGGGTCTTCTAGGGGTCACGTTTTGGCTCCAACGCGCGCGGTTACATCGCTCTTCGGGAACCTACTGAATTGTAGCGGCCAACGCGCGACGCACATTATGGCGGGGAGAGACACCATCTACTCTGCTACCTATAGCAGTGTAAGTATACTTTAATTAGATATTTTCACTGCGCTGGCCTGGAATTGTTCTCCGTGTTGAATGCGAGCACAGCTGACGTTCTCACTCCCAGGTCCCCGTGTATGAGTTCAAGCTCGACACTGAAAGTGTGATGAGAAGGAGAGGGGATGATTGGGTCAATGCAACACACATCCTCAAAGCCGCAGGGTTTGATAAGCCTGCACGAACGCGCATTCTTGAACGAGAGGTCCAGAAGGGAGTTCATGAAAAAGTTCAGGGAGGCTATGGCAAATATCAAGGTATGTCCTAGGATCTATGAAGCCCGTAGAAAATTTAGCTTACTGACAGCTAATGCTCACAGGAACATGGATCCCACTTCCGGAAGGCCGCCAGCTTGCGGAACGCAACAACATCCTCACAAAACTAGCTCCGATTTTCGATTATGTTGCTGGAGACCACAGTCCCCCACCAGCGCCAAAGCACACATCAGCTCCATCCAAACCTAGAGCACCAAGGAAATCGGCCGCCGCAAACCGTGCTGCCGCTGCGGCCGCGGCCGCGGCTGCGGTAGCAGCTTCCGAAAGCCTGAAAGTTGTTCAGCCTCAGCGCAGCATGGGTCCCCCAACAATTCCACAAGATCACTATGAAATGAATGCAGCGTTTGACGACAACGAGTCAATCGGGCACGCTACAATTGAATCATCATCAATGGTCGCAGACGAGGATATGCTTCAAATGTCACATGGCGGACGGAAGCGGAAGCGTGGAGTGGAGGAGGCGACCCCTATGTCCATCAGCGAGCAAGAACACATAATCTACGGCGACCAACTTTTAGACTATTTCATGACCGTGGGTGATGCACCAGAGGCAACACGCATTCCCCCTCCCGAACCCCCTGCTCATTTCCAGGTCGATCGAGCCATTGATGATTCTGGGAACACAGCACTCCACTGGGCATGTGCGATGGGTGACCTGGGCATTGTGCAAGATCTTTTGCACAGAGGGGCCAATGTCAAGGCACTTTCGGATCATGAAGAGACCCCACTCGTCCGAGCTGTTCTGTTTACCAATAATTACGAAAAGAGAACGTTTTCGAATCTCTTAGACATGCTTCTGGATACTGTCTCTTTCCGAGATTGGTTCGGTGCTACTATCTTCCATCACATTGCAGAGAATACTCGAAGCAAGGGAAAATGGAAGAGCTCACGTTATTACTGCGAAATACTCCTCGATAAGTTATGCAAAACATGCTCGCAAGATGAAGTACAAATGTTGTTGTCATGTCAAGATCAGAATGGAGACACCGCTATCTTGGTCGCTGCTCGCAACGGCGCGTTCCGTCTGGTGAATATCCTTCTTGTGCATTGTCATCGCGCTGGCGATCTGGTGAATAATAAAGGGGAAACCGCTAGCAGTATCGTACAGCGTTCTCAACATCACGACCATGACATCCCGCCGGCCCCATCCTCCGTCACCATGGCTAATGAACATATGGATGTTGAAGCAGCTGGTCTTGTGGGCACAGACCGACAGTCCGTTGCTCCAATTCCGGATGCCCCTGCGACCACTGAACTCCTCTCCAGGATTGGAACAATCATGGCCGAGGCTAATAAAAAGCTTGCCGTGACCTATGGAAACTCGAAAATCAACCAGCAGGATTCCAATGATGTCGCCAATCCCGAAGCGTTACACGAGCAATTGGAATCCGACCGCCAGAAGACTCAGAAGCAAATATCTGCATTGGCGGCCAAGGAGGCCGATCATGAGCGCAACGACGACCAAGCTGGTCGATATGAAAAATTGCGGGCAAGCTATGAGTCCCTTCTTGAGCAAATCCAGCATGCTCGGTTGGCTGAACAGTTTGCTATTACGGAGGTACCTAAACCTACGCCAGAGTCCCTTGAGCAAGGTGAATTAATGGCTCGGTATCGACTCGCTCAAGAGCTTTGCTCTGCGCAGAAGATACGCCGCAATGCTATTAAGGATCTAGCCCAACAAACAGCGGATGCGGGTGTGAGCACCAAGTTCGATATGCACCGTAAGCTGGTGGCTTTGGCGACCGGACTTAAAGAAGAAGATCTAGACCCTATGGCTGCGGAGTTGGCCGAGACGTTGGAATTTGACCGAATGAACGGCAAGGGCACTACTCCGGAGCTAGGTCATCGACGATTACCATCCCAGAATGAGTCGGCCACTCACCATGGACCCGGTGTCTCGGTGGATGCTTAACTACCGCGAGGTTGCACGCGTGAACTTTTATGTTTGATTATATTTCATGACTCATTGATTTTTCTTCCTCTGGCACACTACCCAGCCAGCAGATACCCCTCATCTTCTCTTTCTTCTTCGTATCCATTGGTTTATCTTTTCTTCATGTTCTCATGGCTCATTAACAACTCATCTAGTTGTGGTTCTGGGTCCATTCTCCATTTGACTGGCATTCTGACAATGCGCGCACAGGCAGTCTAACTCTTTTCGTGTGTCTGTACAGACCATCAAAGTGCTTGTACATTGTACATACAACGTGGGAGACAGCGGCTCCGGAACGGGCGAGATGCGAAATACGAAGCCAGGAGGGGCTGAGACGTATCTTATCCATGTATGGTTCATTTAGGGCGACAAAATGCGTGGTTTACACCTGCGTTTACATGAATTTATCCAGTTGACAATCCATATCTTCATGGCCATTGTAGATGATAATCACGCTAACTCCTATGTCACGATCTCACTTAACAGTTCCCTAGTCTATGCAGTCTCTTATTACATTGTTCTATATATGGCTCCAAAATGCAACGGTGCACGTCCATATTATTTGTTGCTGGACTTGCACGCCCGTCTGGGCAGCCATGAAGCCAATTTTTAATTTCCGGAACTTCCTGCTGAAGAAGACGTCGGCTTTTCGTTGGGGCAGCAACAAGCGACAAGTCCTGCTGGTTTCATGATTCAGGGGAATGCGGTCTTTCCTACAATAATATACATCGCATCATTTGGTGATTATGTGCAATGTATCATGAGAAAGCATCCAACCATGAATGCGATGAGAATTGTAGTCTACTTAGATTCTACTCTGTATCGAAATAGCAGACAATGTTCTGCAAGCCCGATACCTTTCTTGGTTTTTCCTGATTTTTGTTGCCTTCTAGAAATCAAAAGCCGCCTAAAATCACTTGCAGTTCGTGGCAAAATACTACACTCCTGATTTCCTGACCATAACGAGATCCGATTGAGTTACGAGCTAGAAGCAAACAAGTTCAGGTAAACCCATTGGTTGGCGCCGACAGCTTGGCATTTGCGACGAGCGGCTCCAGGGGCATCGTCAGGCGTAGATTGGATGGCAGCCACGTCGCGCCGCTAGTGGATAACAGCCAATGATTTGGCTGGGGATGTGATGGGATCGCTTCAGGCCTGGGTGTGTTGCTTATTGGTCAATAGGATGAGCCAGTCAGATCTCCTCAATGGGTCTTCTATGATAATGCTGTCAGTTGTGATCAGGCAGTCGGTAGGAGAATACGATATTGCCTAAAGTATAGGTAAAGCTGAAAAAGCTTGAATTACCCCAATGTTTCCAAACATGATGAAAAGAAGATATCAAAGTGAACCTCCGTTGATATTCCGTTGATATTGCCTCTCGTGCCTGAGAAAAGACGCTAGTACGCTTTTGGACTATTGTGCTCGGTTGCTGCCTGAGGGATTAGGCGACAATCCCCGCGGCCATCCACCATCTTTAATCGCTCACTTCTTCTTCTTCTCTTACATCCAACCCTCCATCTAATCTTCGATTCTTTCTTTTCCTTTCCCTTCCCCTCTGCATTCCTTCTTTCTCTGCAGCTCTTCTCGTTTCATGGAAAACACCCAAAAAAAGCATCTATCCACTTTGCAAATAGTCCCGATCAGTTCCGCCCCCCTGAGGAAAAACGTTGTGTTTGGCCAAGGACCGAATTCACTACATTTTTGATTGTCTTCACAAATCCATCTCTTCGGATCCTTGAACCTGTTTTCACCTCGGTTATTCGCACAGCACTGGGTTGTTTGGTCGCCACCTTAAGTGTTTCAGCCTCCAAGTCTTCGATCTTCGGCATCGCGTGAACTACTCTCTTTTCTTATTCGGCTAGGATTTGCAGAGCATTTCCCCGGACATTTTATCTTTTCTTCGTGGTCTAGCTTCTCGCGTGGCTTCTCTTCCTAAAAATATCCTCTTAATTTCTTTCTTTTTTTCTTTCGAGGTGTCTGTCAACACATCTCAAACTCCTCGGCTTCCTCGAGACCTATTCCTTGGGTTCGCAACTTTCAAACCCAGCAAGTCCTTGTACAGCTCGGTTCTTCTCTCATCTATCATCTTTATCGCTAGCCATTCGCTCGCTTTATTTTCAAATCTTCACCTGTGATTGGTACGTGTGATTGCCTTGTGCTCCATCCGTTGGATCTCACTGACCAGTTTCCGGATACAGAAAACCCGACTCTCGCGTCCACGTTTCATTTCCCGGTCGTTGAATCTCGATATTGCAGACTTATTTCAGCACTTGTTCTCGCATAGACACCATAATTCCTTAATCGCCGAGAAGTGAGTTTAGCTTTGTGGTTGACCCCAAACGCTCA